TCCAGAAGTAGTAACTGGCTTTATTATTATTTTTTAAATATATTTTATTGATTTTTTTACAGAGAGGAAGAGAGAGGGATAGAGAGTTAGAAACATCAGTGAGAGAGAAATATCGAATAGCTGCCTCCTACATACCACCTATTGGGGATGTGCCTGCAACCAAGGTACATGCCCTTGACCAGAATCGAACCTGGGACCTGTCATTCCACAAGCCAACACTCTATCCACTGAGCCAAACCAGTTAAGACACTGGCTTAATTATTGAAGTAACAAATACACATGAACTTTAGGACACATCTTACCTATTGTGAATGGTAATAATAATAATAATAATAATAATAATAATAATATATAAAAAGCCAGGGGCGGTCATGACTGAACAACTGTATGATGACCAAACAGCAGGCTGCATGGGGTGACAAGGTCAGCAGGCGGGTTAGTGAGGGATGACCAAACGACTGAACAGCAGGTTGCGTGGGACGACCAGGCTGTCAGGGAGCAGTTAGGGGTGATCAGGCCAGCAGGCAGAAGCAGTTAGGGGTGATCAGGCTGGCGGGGGGGGGGGGGGGCGGGGGGAAGGCCCCCAGTTAGGGGCAATCAGCCAGGCATGCAGGTGAGTAGTGAGGATCCAGCTGTTGCGAATTGTGAGAGAGATGTCTGATTGCAGGTTTAGGCCCGATCCTCTGTACCAGTAATCAGACATCCCCCCAGGGTTCCCGGATTAGAGAGGGTGCAGGCTGGACTGAGGGGACTCTACGCGGCCCCCCCCGCCCCCCCCCCCCCGTCCGTGTACGAATTTTGTGCACCAGGTTTCTAGTGGTAATAATAATAATAATAGTATTACCTCGTACTTTATTTATTTATTTAAATATATTTTATTGATTTTTTACAGAGAGAAAGAGAGAGGGATAGAAATCTAGAAACATCAATGAGAGAGAGACATCGATCAGCTGCCTCTTGAACAGCCCCTGTTGGGGATATGCCTGCAACCAAGGTACATGCCCTTGACCGGAATCGAACCCGGGACCCTTCAGTCCCCAAGCTGACGACGCTCTATCCATTGAGCTAAACCAGTCTTGGCTTACCTCGTACTTTAAAAGTATTTATTGCATGTCCCTCTTCTTGCTAAGCACTTCACAGGCATTATCTTATTTAATTTGTATAACAATTCTATGAAATAGTTATTACTATTAGTTTCACCTCATTTTATTTTTTAAGCTTATTTAAAATATGTTTTTATTGATTTTTTGAGAGAGGAAAGGAGGAGAGAAACATCTATTGGCTGTCTCGCACATGCCCCCTACTGGATATTGAGCCTGTAACTCAGGCAAGTGTCCTGATGGGAATCAACCAACTTCTTGGTTCATGGTTGACGCTCAACCTCAGAGCCACATCTGCTCATCCCCATTTTACAGATGAGGAAATTGAGGCACAGAGAGGTTAAGATGACTAAAGACCCAGTGCTAGTAAACATGAAATTCCAGAGAGCTGTGGCTCTCAACCCTGTGTCCTCAACTACTATATATCTTGCTTTTTGTATTGAATGTTTGAAACTAATTTGATGGTTACTTTTATTTTAGATTCGGAATTTTCAATTGGAGTTGATAAAACATTAAGTTTCTTTCTGCTTGTGTGACATAGCAACCCAATTCTTTTCAGTAAAATAGGAAAAGGAATGGGTAAAGAATAGTAACTATAGCTCTAGCTCAGTGGTCGGCAAACTGCAGCTCACTAGCCACATGTGGCTCTTTGGCTCCTTGAGTTTTAGCAAAGGCCAGCTTAAGAGTACCCTACTTTAGTTAATAACAATGTACCTACCTACCCTGTATCCCTGAAAATAAGACAGTGTATTGTATTAATTTTTTCTCCCAAAGTTGCGCTAGGTCTTATTTTCAGGAGATGTCTTATCTTTCCATGCGCTAGATCTTATTTTTGGAGGATGTCTTATTTTCGGGGAAACACGGTATATAGTTTAAGTTTAAAAAATTTGGCTCTCAAAAGAAATTTCACTTGTTGTACTGTTGATATTTGGCTCTGTTGACTAATGACTTTTTTTTAAATAAATTTTTATTGTTCATATTATTACAAATGTTCCTTCCCCTCCCCCCCTCCATTGCTCTCCTCCACCAAATCCCCACCCCACCCTATGCCCTTTCCCAACCCCGCATTGTCTTCATCCATAGGTGCACAGTTTATGTTCAGTCTCTTCCCACGTCCCTCTCTCCCCTTTTCCCACACCCCTTCCATACCTCTGATTCTATTATATTCAACAGTTAATATTGTTCATCAGATTAAAAAAAAAATTTCCTTGGTTTTTAGATTCACTTGTTAATAGCTACGTATTTGTTGTTCATAATTTTTAAAATATATATATATATATATTTATTGATTTTGTACAGAGAGGACGGGAGAGAGATAGTTAGAAACATCGATGAGAGAGTCATCGATCAGCTGCCTCTTGCACACCCCCTACTGGAGATATGCCCGCAACCAAGGTACATACCCTTGACTGGAATCGAATCCGGGACCCTTCAGTCCCCAAGCCGACGCTCTATCCATTGAGCCAAACCGGTCTCGGCTGTTGTTCATAATTTTTATCTTTATTTACTTTCTCTTCTGAAAGAACCCCCTTCAGCAATTCATATAATTCTGGTTTGGTGTTGATGAACTCCTTTAGCTTTTTTTTTTATTAGTGAAGCTCTTTATCTGACCTTCGATTCTGAGTGATAGCTTTGCTGGATAGATTATCTTTGGCTGTAGGTTCTTACTATTCATCACCTTGAATATTTCTTGCCATTCCCGTCTGGCATGCATGGTTTCTGTTGAGAAATCAGCTAACAATCGTATAGGTGCTCTGTTTTAGGTAACTACCCGCTTTGCTCTTGCTGCTTTTAATATTCTCTCTTTGTCTTTTTCTCTTGGAATTTTAATTATGATTTGTCTTAGTGTGGTCCTCTTTGGATTCCTTTTGTTTGGAGTTCTGTGTGCTTCCTGGACTTGTAAGTCTAATTCTTTCACCAGGTGGGGGAAGTTTTCTGTCACTATTTCTTTCAGTATGTTTTTGATATCTTGCTCTCTCTCATTTTCTGGGACCCCCATAATTCTGATGTTGGTTCGCTTGAAGTTGTCCCAGAGGTTTCTTACATTATCTTCAATTTTCTGGATTCTCTTGCCTTCTTGCTTCTGCAGAGGAGTGTCTTCTGGCTCTTTATGTTCCAAATCTTTGACTTGATTCTTGCTATCTTCCATTCTGTTTTTAGGACTCTGTATAATATTTTTTATTTCAGACAATGTATTCTTTATTTCTTGTTGATCCCTTATCATTTCTTGTTGATTCCTTATTAATTGTAGTTGATCCTTTTTCATATCCTCATTGGTCTTATCGATCTTTTCTAGGATATTCTTGAAAAACCTTATAAGGGTAGATTTAAACTCTATATCCAGTTGCTTTTTGTCCTCCATTTCTTTCGTTTGTGATCTATTGCGGTCTCGGCATTTTCGCAGCTTCCCTGATGGGGTGGGATTTCAGGGTGGAGCCTGCAGCTTTGGCTTCCATCAGCCCCGCCCTATGCAGGCCCTTCAGTAATCGTTGCAAGTGCCTCTGAGAGAAAGGTGCCCTCAATTTTCACCTGCTACCAAACAGTCTAGGCTCTCCCCCAATGAGCCCGATATTGGGGTTCAGTTCAGTTGGAAGTGGAATTGGAGGTGGCGTTGAGAGCAGTCTGGAGCCCCTGTCTCCTTCCCGCCAGGGCAATCCCGCGGCACAGCCAACCGTCCCTTCTCTGCTCACAATGTGCACACCTCCCGGGGCTCTGCCTTTCACCGCTCCCCTGGGATTCCGCCCACAGCCCTCTGTTTGAGCCTGGGTCCCCGGGGTCTGGCCTAGAACTGGGGTTCAGAGCAGTCGGAACTGGGGCCCAGCACAGTCGGAGCTTTTATCTCCTTCCCGCTAGGGAACGCCAGCCAGGCACTCGGCCTCCCTCCTCTCCGGCTCCGTCCTCTCCGCACACCACGTGTCTCTGTACCTTAGGCTTTTACAGCTCCTCCACGCTTCCTTCTGGTTTTCTCCTTGCTTCTCGTTGTAGAATTTCCAGTCAGTCAACTTTCCTGTAGTTCTGGGTAATGTCCATTTTATATTTTAGTTGTATTTTATTGAAATTGTTGTATGCGGCTGCGGCTAGGTGTTTACCTGTGCAGCCATTTTGGATTCTCCCTGTTGACTAATGACTTTGCCGACCACTGCCCTAGCTGGTTTGCTTAGTGGATTGCATCGGACTGCGGACTGAAGATGTCCCAGGTTCGATTCCAGTCAAGGGCACATGCCTAGGTTGTGGGCTCTATCCTCAGTAGAGGGCATGCAAGAGGCAGCTGATCCATGATTCTCTCTCATCATTGATGTTTCCATCTCTCCTTCTCCCTTCCTCTTTGAAATAAATAAAAATATATTTTAAAAAAGGATAAAAACTGTAGAATCAGAAGATTCCCAGAAATAAGGAAACTTCTAAGATTTGGAGAAAATGGGCAATACTAAAGGAAAAATTCTGGAGTTGGGAATGATATGAAATTCTAAGAGACATAGAAATATTTTTTTTCTGTTCCAGACTTCTGCCTGCCACGTGACACACCAGCATTTGCCTCCTTCACTGCCAGATTTATTTCCATCTATTTGAACTCTCCTTCATAGCCAATATAATTCAGTTTTCATAATGGAAGTTAGTGGGCAAAGCAAGCCATTTTTGCTAAGATATATTTCTAATATAAATAAGAGAAATCTATAATTGCTTTAGACTATAAAGAAAATTGGCGAAATTAATATTTCCTAAGCTATATAAGCTAGAGAAGTCTAGGAATAGGAATGTAATTAAAATTACTATATTTGATGTTATTGGAAGTGAACAATTCATTATATTTAAGAAATGACATCTTTCTTAATGTTTTCCCTAATCCACTATCCCCTTTCCTCTTTCTCATTCAATTTTTTTTAAACTTTTTTTTTTTAGGTGAGAGACCAAAGAAACCAACTCCTCTTCAGGATCAGACTGTCAGAGATGAAAAAGGAAGGTATAAGCGGTTTCATGGAGCCTTTAGTGGAGGGTTTTCTGCTGGGTACTTCAACACTGTTGGCTCAAAAGAAGGTATGATTTTCCTACTTATAGCTATGTTATTGCTAAAGTAATTGATTGAAATCTCACAAGATTCTCATCTCCCTACCTCTCTTTTAAAAAAACTTCTTATAACATTTTAGTACATAAATTGTACACTTTTGTCTTCTCTGAATATTTGGAATATTTCCAGATTCAAGTTTGATTGATTACAACCTGAAAATGAAAGAGTTTTTTTCACTAATATAAACTATAACTGGATGATAAAATGATGATAATGACTTCCGTTTTACATTGCATCTTGCCATGCACAAAGTACTCTCACACAGATGCACTCAGTTAATCATTGTCTCACACGGCTAAGTGACTAAGGAGGGCAGGTGTCACAGCTGTTTTGTAGACGAAGTCGAGGATCAGACTCCTCTATCCTGACAAGGGACCACGCCTTCACTTGTTAGCACATACTCTCAACCTGGAGAAAATCTGTTATATTTTTCACATGGTGCAACATAATATATTCTGCATCCATTGAAGTAATGTATGTTTTTTAAAATGTTTTAACATAGAAACTGGAGGGAAATGACTTCTATATCTCAGATATGAATAGAAGATGGGCTGATTAACTCATGTAGGAATTAAGAACAAGATAAGATTGATCTTTTATATATTTATTTTTTATTAAAAAATAAGTTTTAATATAGTCAGTAATACTATAATAACTATGTATGATATTGGATGGATACTAGATTATCAGGGGATTACTTCATAAATTATATAAATGTCTAACTACTATGCTATACACCAGAAACTAATTAATATTATATGTCAAATAATTGGAAAGTAACTCGTAGACAAAAACAATCTATACTAATAAAAGGGTAATATGCTAATTATACTGGGTCTACCAGACATCTTCCGAATGTCTGACTTCCTTCTAGACAAAGCCACAGTGGCTGGGACCAAGGCAGAGGCTGTTAGAGGTGATTAGACCAGCAGGGGAGCAAGCAGTTTGGGGCAAGATCAGGCTGGCACCAGGGAACAATCAGTTAGGAGGGAGATCAGTCTGGCAGAGGAGGGCAGTTGGGGATGATTATGCTGGCAAGGGGGGGCAGTTGGCGATCAGTCCAGCAGGGAAGGGCAGTTGGGGGTGATCAGGCCAGCAGGGGAGCAGTTAGGCGGTGATCAGGTTGTGATCAGGCCAGCAGGGGAGTGGTTAGGGGCAATCAGGTCGGCAAGCAGAGGTGGCTAGGGGCAATCAGGCAGGCAGGTGAGCGGTTAGGAGCCAGTGGTCCTGGATAGTGAGAGGGATGTTCAACTGCCAGTTTTGGGCCTAAACCGGCAGTCGGACATCCCCGAGGGGTCCCAGATTGGAGAGGGTGCAGGCCAAGCTGAGGAATACTCTTGCCCTGTGCACACATTTTGTGCACCATGCTTCTAGTGGTAAAATAAAGATGAAAAGTAATGCAGGAAAGAAAAAAAAAAAAAGAACCATGTAAAAAAAAATGGTTGGTGTAAATAAGATGTTAAAGCTCAGTATTCAGAATGTGTAAAGATCAGTTCAGTAGGCAAATGATCAAAGTATCTGAACAGTTAACTAATACTTCAGATGAGATAGAATACTATATGGAATATTTAGCCTTATTATTAAAAAAAAAACAAGTTAAGATAACTAAACAAATTAAGACACTATGAAAATAGCACATTATTACAATGTTAAAAATGGCAGTAGGGTTTGTGAGGAAAGAAGCACACTAATACATTGCTGATTATTATAATTATGGCTTTGGTGCAATTTACAATAACTAAGATCTGAAAAACAACCCATGTGCCCATCAGTAGATGAGTGGATAAAAAAGCTGTGGTACATTTACACCCTGGAATACTATGCAGCAGTAAAAAATAAGAATCTCTTACCCTTTGAGACAGCATGGAGGGACCTGGAGAGCATCATGCTAAGTGAAATAAGTCAGTCAGAGAAAGACAATTATCACATGATCCCACTCATATGTGGAATCCAATTAACAAAATAAACTGATGAATAGAGTGGATCCAGAGACATGGAACATGGAACAGAGCAGAATCTCGGTAGGGTGGGAGTTGATCAATAAACGATCCTGTATGCATGTGTGCATATCCCAGGGACACAGACAATAGGGTGGTGAGGGCCTGGGGAGAGGCAGTGGTTGGAAGTGGGTTCAAGGGTTTCTATGGGGGAAAAAGGGGAGCTTAGGTAATACTTGCAACAATAAAGATTAACAAAAATAATAAAATTAAATCTTTCAGTCATGAAGAAATAAATAATTATGGCTGTGCTGCATATTACAATTAAAAAGTAAGATCAGCCGAAGCCAGTTTGGTTCAGTGGTAGAGCATTGGTCTGCGGACTGAAAAGATTCAATTCCGGTCAGGGGCATGTACGTTGGTTGCACACCGGGGATGTGCAGGAGGCGGCTGGTCGATGTTTCTCTCTCATCGACGTTTCTGGTTCTCTTTCTCCCTTCCTCTCTGTAAAAAATCAATAAAATATATTTAAAAAAAAAAACACAAAAAAACAAACACATGAAGCCCTAGGAAAAAAATAAAAGATGACTATTTCCTATTAAAAAAAAAAAGTAAGATCAGTTCAAATGATTACTGAAGTAGACAGTAATATGTTAATATACTGAAATGTCTCTTTACCATTAGGAATGACAGATTCAAGGATTATGAAGAAATAGGGCAAAGACTACAGAAATCGAAAGTGGAGGAAGGTGCTGGGCCCACAGTATTGCCCAAGAGAGCAGATTCTTACTCTCCCGGGGAATCAATCTCCCAGGTTGACCCAGAAACCTGCTCCACCCATCTGCCAATAGTAGATCTACCCCACACTCCTCAGCCAGACTGTAGGATATCAGAAAGTAGAGAAATCTGTCCCCTTAGAGAAATCTAAAGAAGCTCGTCTGCAGAGGGTTACAGATCCATTTGATGGCCAGAGTATTCTCTCTTTAGTCAGGGCACATGCTTAGTGACTGTGGATGGGGAACAAGAGCATTAGTTATAGGACTCAGGTGTTTGATGGAATTGGGGACCTGCTATGGCCATTGCCTGCCCTTAGACCAAAGTCCTTGGGTTAGGCCCCCTGAATGTGCATTGCTTTTGTAGCTCCCTCTTTTGCCATTCTTTCTTGGCTGACTGTACCTTGACATATTGTTTCTTTTTATCTTCTTTTAATTTTTAAATTTAAAAATTTTTTTTTATCTCTTTTGACATATTGTTTTTTATTTTTTAAATCTTTAAATTTAAATTTTTCCTTTCTTATTTTTGTTTTGTTAATCCTCATTTGAGGATATTTTTTTCATTGACTTTTAAAATACATATATTTTTATTGATTTCATAGAGAAAGGGAGAGGGAGAAAGAGAGAGAAACATCAATGATGAGAGTGAATCCTGCATCGGCTACCTCCTACATGCCCCCTACTGGGGATCAAGCCTGCAACCCTGGCATGTGCCCTTGACTAGCAAACCCGGGACCTTTTAAACCATAAGCCAGTGCTCTATTCACTGAGCCAAACCAGCTAGGGCTCCATTGATTTTTAAAAAGAGAATGGAAGGGAGAGAGAGAGAAACATGGATGTGAGATGGACACATCAACTGATTGCCTCCCACAGGTGCCCTAACTGGGGCCAGGATCGAGCCTGCAACTGAGGTATGTGCCCTTGACTGGAATCGAATCTGCAACCCTCAGTCCCTAGGTCGACACTCTGACCACTGAGCGACTGGCTAAAATTTTAATTAATAAATATGTTTTTATTGATTTTTAGAGAGAAATAGAAACATCAATGAGAAGCATCAATATTGATCACCTATTTCCTGTACACTCACTACTGGGAGTCCAGCTTGCAATCTGGGCATGTGCCCTGACTAGGAATTGAACTGTGACCTCTTGGTTCCTAAGTCAATGCTCAACCACTGAGCCACACTGGCTGGGCCTAAAATTTTAAATTTTTAAAAATATATTTTTATTTCTGAGAAGAAGGGAGAGGAAGAGATAGAAACATCAATGATAAGAGGGAATCATTGATTGGCTACCTTCTGCATGCCCCCTGCTGGGGACTAAACCTGCAACCCGGGCATGTACCCTTGACCTGAATCGAACCTGGGACCCTTGAGTCCGCAGGCTGACGCTCAATACACTGAGTTAAACTGGCTAGGGCTAAAATTTTAATTTTTTTTATTGAATGTGTTGGGGTGACATTGATTAATAAAATTATGTAGGTTTCAAGTGTACAATTCTATAATGTATCATCTGTATATTGTGTTTTGTGTTCACCAGACATATTGTTAATTTGATATGCTAATTTGTTAGTGTAGGTTGCTGTTCTGCTGGTCTCCGAGTGGTCCTGCCTTTTAAGGTGACCTCAGAACTGTTGGTGTTCTTTTCAGGTTAACTATCCATGTGTAGTTTGACTTTACTTGATTCCAGTTTTTACAGGAAGCCTCACTGTATACACTAAGCTCTGACAACAGGGGAGATGGAGGTTAATAAGTTTGTGTGGAATAATTGGGTCTGTATGTGCAGTGAGATGGGAAGTAGCAGGAGTTGTAGTTATTGGGGCTTTCAAGTCCACACACATTATTTAATTATTTAGTCATAAGGCAAAATGCTACCTGGGATTGTAATGTTCTAAACTCTTTTCTTTGAAGGATGGACGCCCTCTTCCTTTGTGTCTTCACGACAGAACAGAGCAGACAAATCTGTTCTTGGTCCGGAAGATTTTATGGATGAAGAGGTGGGTGTGTAGAACTTGAATTCCAGTTAGTTTATAATTGGTTATTGTAGCACCTTCACCTTCCTTAGAAAGTTCAGTGTCTGATTTCCTCTTTGTAAGGTTTTATCTTTTCAGTATTTGGATTATAGTGCCCTGTGTATCACTGGATTCTGATTCATGAGAGCAGCATCTTATGATGGGGGTAGTTTCTAAAGATAAGAGTGTAGAGAATGCTGGGCCAGCATGGCTCAGTGGTTGAGCATCAACCTACGAAGAAGGAGGTCACAGTTCATTTCCTGGGAGGCCGGTTCAGTCCTCGGTATGGGCATGCAGGAGACAGCCAATCAATGATTCTCTCTCATCATTGTTGTTTCCATCTCTCTCTCCGTCTCCCTTCCTCTCTGAAATTAATAAAAAAATATTTTTTTAAAAGTGAGTAGGAGAGCCCTTCCTGGGCAAGCTCAGTTGGTTGGCGCTTCGTCCTGTTACACCAAAGTGGCAGGTTCCATTTCACTGCAATAAAACGAATATTGGAAAAAAGCAAGTCGTGTGAAATTTTTGGTTTTCCAGTACATAAAAAGTTATATTTTTACTCTACTATAGTCTATAAATGTGCAATAGCATTATTTCTTTTAAAAAATTACATATCTTAAAAAATACTTTTATTGCTAAAAAATGTTAACCATCGTCTGAGGCTGTTGGAAAAATGGCACCACTAGACTTGTCAATGTAAGTTTGCCACAAACTTTCAATTTGTAAATAATGAAATATCTGCAAAGGACAGTAAAGTGAAGTGCAACAAAACAAGGAATGCCTGTACAGGCAAATTTATTTGAAAAAGGCTGTTACCTCACAAATGAAGTCTTCATTGAGACAAGTCTACAGCCTTTCACAGTAACACACACTGCGGTTTGAGCAGTGAGTGCAAGAGAAGGGAGTGAAAGGAAGCCTTGTGCAGGCACCTGGACCCACTGTTTTTTGTTGGTTTGTTTTTATTGATTTCAGAGAGGAAAGGAGAGGGAGAGAGAGCTAGAAACATCAATGATGAAAGAGAATCATTGATCGGCTGCTTTCTGCACACCTGCTACTGGGGATGGAGCCAGCAACCCGGGCAGTGCCATTGACCAGAATTGAACCCGGGACCTTTCAGTCCTCAGGTCAACGTTCTATCCACTGAGCCAAACCGGCTAGGGCTGGGCACATCGTTAAAATGACTGACTGTAAACTTCTTAGGTAAGAGTGCTGATGGAGGGTTCTAAAGTGGTCTGGCCAACCTTGTAGGGTGTGCTCCATTTTGTTTAAAACTAAATTTCCCTTAACTTAAAACCTAGTCTTGGATTCATTTGTGATAAAGATGCAATAACATACTTATATCATCAGTATGTTTTAGGCTGCAGGGAAGAGGCAAGGGAAGGCTCCTTCCTGTCTCACTAGCATAATCCTTAAGGAAACATATCTCATGTAACAAGAAGTCTAAATGCCAGTGAGGCCCCAGGCTCACTTTCTCTCCCTCCTCCTCGTCCTCCTCCTCCTCCTCCTCCTCCTCCTCCTCCTCCTCCTTCTTTAAAATATATATTTTTATTGATTTCGGGGAAGGGAGTAAGGAAGGGGAAGAGAGGGAGAGAGAGAGAGAGAGAGAGAGAGAGAGAGAGAGAGAGAGAGAGAGAGAGAGAGAGAGAGAGATAGATATCAATGATGGGAGAGAATCACTGATGGACTGCCTCCTGCATACCCCACACTGGGGACCGAGCCCACAACCTGGGCATGTACCCTGACCAGGAATCAAGCCGTGACCTCCTGGTTCATAGATCAACACTCAACCACTGAGCCACTCTGTCCAGGCCCAGACTCCTCTCAGTCTTCTTTTGCATGTCAGCTTGCTCTTACATTACATTGCCTCATGGTTGCAAAAAAAAAATAAAAAATGACTGGCTTTATCCCATGAACAAGACATGAACCCCATTCCTTAACCCTCTCCCCATCCAGCCTACACACACCAGGGATCAGGTGCCTATACAGTCTCAGGCAACTGTAGAAAGAGGCAGAGGTAATGACTGTTGGACGAGCAGCCAACAGTAAATGCAAAAGCACTCAACTCAGGGCCTGGCACATAGGTGCTCACGAATGCTTATTGGCTGTGACTCTAGGTTCTTCCTGTATTCTTAGCTTGGTAGTGCTCCTTGTGGCCTCACTGAGTAGCCACTATTGTGCCCCGTCCTTGTGTTGTGGCAGATGCACGGGAGAACGGTCAGCCAGCACTCTGAGGGAGGAGAGTTTAACCTTTATTTCGCAGACCTGCTAGTCCAGAGGAATTCCGGGTCCAAAGCCTGAACTGAACTCGTGGGGAGGCTCTGCCCTGTTCTCCTGTGGCAGGGACCCTCAGGGGCTCCGCCCACGTCAGCTGTGGCAGGGCCTGGGGTTAGGCTCTGCAGCTCCGCCCATGTTCAGTCAGAGTGGGGAAGTAAGACTTCAGTTTTAACCAGATTCTGAACTAGGTTGCAAGCCCCCCATTTTCCTTTTCGCTTGGCCACTGGCCTGATGTGAGGGTGCCAAGTCAGTGTGTAAAGTCAGCTGCTCACCTGATCCCAAACTCAGTTTTGTGGTTTCAACTTTTTGTTAGTTTTTTTTGTTAATCCTCACCTGAGGATAGTGTTCATTTGATTTTTAGATAGGGTAGAAGGGAGGGAGGAAAGGAGAAAGGGAAATGTTGATGAGAGAGAGACTTTTGCGTGCCCCTGATCAGGCCCAAGGGTCGAACCTGCAACCCAGGTACGTGTCCTTGACTGGGAATTGAACCCAAGAATGGCCCAACACTCCAACCACCGAGGAACATTGTCCCGGGCTTAACTTTTTAAAGAACTAAAGCTACATAATGCATCATGTTTAATCGCTTCCCAAATAATGAAATAATTTTGTTTGATTTTTTTTTTGAAGGATCTTAGTGAATTTGGGATAGCACCTAAAGCAATTGTTACCACAGACGATTTTGCTTCCAAAACCAAAGACAGAATACGAGAAAAGGCCAGGCAGTTAGCAGCTGCTACTGCCCCTATTCCTGGAGCCACTCTGCTTGATGACTTCATAACGCCAGCAACGTGAGAATTTAATTTTGACTTTTCTGATCTTGAAATTACTGCTTTGCATATATATGATGATCTTACTTAGGGAAAGCTTGGTTGCAAGTAAGACAAGCCTTCTTAGCCTAACTTGAGTGCAAAGGGGGGTTTTCCCAAAGGGTCTTGCATTGTTAGTGCACGGAGTGCTCTAGATCTCCAGCCTCATTCTACCCTCTCATCTGCACACCTCCTTGTTCTGCTCCTGGGCACGTGACCTGATGTGGCAGCCTTGGACTGTCATGGTTTCCCAGACCCCAAGCTTGACAAGGACCATGTGGAGTCCCTATGTGCCTGCTCTGGGCCTAGGAGAAAAGACATCTGATCAGCTTCCCCATGTCAGACATACACCCCAAGTCCAGTCATTCAGAGCATGTCCGGAATGGCCAGGCCATGCAATTCTAACATGAATGGGGGGAAGGGTTCAGGAACTTAAAGGCTGCTTACTTCCTGCTGTTCTCTAATGTTACAAAAAGAAGTTCCTTTCCAATGCCTTGATATCCTAGATTATCTGTTGGTTTTGAATTGCTGAGAAAAATGGGTTGGAAGGAAGGACAAGGGATTGGTCCTCGAGTAAAGAGAAGACCACGCCGACAAAGACCTGGTATGTAATACTTCTTTAAAAATTTACTGATTTGGAGAGAGAGAGGAAGAGAGAAACATTGATTTGTTGTTCCACTTATTTATGCATTCATTGATTGTTGCTGTGTGTGCCCTGATTAGGGATTGAGCCCACAACCTTGGGGTATCCTCTAACCAACTGAGCTACCCAGCCAGGGTCCTAATACTTTAAAAAAAAAAAAATGTTTTTATTGATTTTTAGAGAGAGAGGAAGGAGAGGGATAGAGAAATAGAAACATCAATGAGAGAGAAACATCATTAATTGGCTGCCTCCTGCATACCTCCATATTGGGGATCCAGCCTAAAACCCAGACATGACCCATGACCTCTGACCAGGCATCGAATTGGTGACCTCTTTGTTTCTGGGTCAGTGCTCAACCACTTAGCCACACTGGCCGAGCCCTAATACTTTGGCTACATGTTTCTAGAAATAAAATTGCTGGGTGGTATGCAGGTATTTTAAGGCTTTTTGTGTGTAGTGTGAAATAGCTTTCTGGAAGAATTGTACTCGTTTACATTCCCATCAGGAGCATATGAAACTCCTATTTCTGCCAAAACTGTGTCACAATTTAACGGTATTATTTTCTATTCTATTTCTTGCCCTTGCTCTTCCAACCAGACTATGAACTCTTAGAAGCAGCAATAATTATTTTAGGTTCTCCCTAGGGCTGGAGGAGTAGTGGTTACTCATTTAGCACATTGTTGCCAGAGTGCCATGGGGCAAGGGCTGGGGGGAAACAATTTCTGAGCGATCAGTCTCCAACCCTAAAGCTGCAGCACTTTTTACAAGGGCAGCTCGGATTTCTGTATTCTCAGTTTCCCATGACTGATGCATTTGAAATCTCTTGTACAGATCCTGGAGTGAAAATCTATGGCTGTGCATTACCTCCGGGAGGCTCAGAAGGATCTGAGGTATTATATATGAGATGACTGTAGCATTTGTTACTTCATGAAGGTGAAATTTTACAAATTGATTAAAAATACACACACACACACACACATTATTGATTTTTTAGAGAAAGAAAGAGGGAGGGGGAGAGAGATAGAAACATCGATGAGAGAGAAACATCAACCAGCTGCCTCCTGCATGCCCCCTACTGGGGATCAAGCTGGCAACATGGGCATGTGCTCTGACCGGGAATTGAACCGCTGACCTCTGGTTCATGGGTTGATACTCAGCTACTGAGTCACACCTGCCAAGCCAGAAGCAGTTTTTGAAATGAATCATATCCCATGGCAGTGAAATACCCATACCTTGAAATTATCCTCATAATGTCAGATAATGTGTTCAGCAATATGCCTGCCAGCCCCATAGATAACTATTTAGAGTCTTAAAATGAAATTGCTTGTGTTAGTATCATTTATTCAGGGACTTGATGTAGTGATTTTTAATAGTGGAAATTAAAGTTTGGTAAATGTTCTGTTTAGAATGAATCACTGCATTTGAAAATAGTGTTTTAAAGGCTTACTTTGCGCCAGCAAGTGACTCACCTTCATTCCACTTTTTAAATAGGATGAAGATGATGACGACCTGCTAGAAAATGTGACCTTTGCACCCAAGGATGTCATGCCTGTGGATTTCACACCTAAAGATAATGTACATGGACTGGCTTACAAGGGTCTGGATCCCCACCAAGCGCTGTTTGGAGCTTCAGGAGAACATCTTAATCTTTTCAGCGGGAGACCCGAGGGAACCAGCAATCTTCTTGGAGATATTGGAGTGAATAAAGGGAGAAAATTGGGAATTTCAGGCCAGGTAAGTGTTTCTGTTTTATAAACATGGAGCTATTGACAAATGAGAATACTCCTTATTATATTTGCCCCATAGTAGGGCATTCATTATTGATTGACTACATGAAGGCCTCAAAGTGGTCATATTTTCCTTGGGATTTGTTTTGAAGATATGTAAAGTATACCTACGTGATTTTATTTTATTTAAAAAAAAATATATATTTTATTGATTTTTTACAGAGAGGAAAGGAGAGGTGATAGAGAGTTAGAAACATTGATGAGAGAGAAACATCGATCAGCTGCCTCCTGCACACCTCTTACTGGGGATGTGCCCGCAACCAAGGTACATGCCCTTAACCAGAATTGAAGCTGGGACCCTTCAGTCCGCAGGCCGATGCTCTATCCATTGAGCCAAACCAGTTTCGGCAACCTGTGTGATTTTTAAAAAATATATATATTTTATTGATTTTTTACAGAGAGGAAGAGAGAGGGATAGAGAGTTAGAGACATCAATGAGAGAGAATCATCGACCAGCTGCCTCTTGCACACCCCCTACTAAGGATGTGCCCGCAACCAAGGTACATGCCCTTAACCAGAATCGAACCTGGGACCTTTCAGTCTGCAGGCCGACGCTCTATCCACTGAGCCAAACCGGTTTCGGCGACCTACGTGATTTTAATATTTACTGCTGAGATCCTGTAACCTATGTTCTTGGTGGAGTTAGTTCCCAGGAGTGTGGACCACTTTTTCACACTGTTGTGGGGCTGAGCAGAAAACCACACTTACCCTTTTGGTTTAGTTAATAGTTGAATTTCAGTCTGCCTCCCAAGTTCAGGCCCAAGTTTGACTACCTCCTAGACTATTTCCTAGTGCCGCCAGCCCTAAGTTGGGAGTGTAGGTGTAAGTTTTATATGGGAGACTTGCTTTATACTTTTGAGGAGATGGAGAGCTTTTCCTGACTGCCTGTCCTCTCAAATTGATTCAGAGGTTCTTTCCTAAATTACACTTAGGAAATGTCATTATTGTTTTTTCCAGTTCTTTTAACAGAAAGGGATACTTGGAGGTCATGTCCCCTAAGATTAGGAGTTCTTACTTGGCTGTTACAGTAGTGGTGGTCTCCAGACCCTGGTTACCAGCTCTGTCCCAGGCCATACTGAACAGCAAGTGAACTCTTCCTTTCTCCATTAGAGGCCCCATTTCTCCTCCTGCACTGCTACTTGCGTGCCTTCTCCATTCCTCTGCCCATGCTAGGACCCGGACCCATAGCTGCAGGACCTGGACCCATAGCTGCTGCTGGGCATGGCATTCACATCTACAGGACTGGAGTCTGTGTATTAATCTGGGCCTCCCATTTGCTTCTTTCTTGGTGATCTTTCCGTGCTAATGTGGGCCGTTCAATGACATTGTTAAAGTCGCTTATCCTTCAGTGCAGACATACTCTAACCCGTATTGCTGTTTGAAACCTTGCTTTGAAGGCTTTTGGTGTTGGTGCCCTTGAAGAGGAAGATGATGATATCTATGCAACAGAAACTCTATCCAAGTATGACACTATTTTGAAGGACGAGGAGCCTGGAGATGGACTCTATGGCTGGACAGCGCCCAAGCAATATCAACGTCAGAAAGGTGATTCCATAGACCCATACCTGATGGTGGGATCAGTGTGAGCTGTCAGGAAGAAGGGATGGCAAGCTTGATACTGCAGTGTCAGCCTCCAAGGAGTAGGGAGTTTTTGGTCAAAGATGCAGATTGAGAAACAAAGTTAGAAGAAGAGACGCCCAATGTGGAAAGTAAGACAGATGCAGGATTTAGAATGAGTTACAGCTGCCAGGCTTAGTGGTTGAGCATCAACCCATGCACCAAGAGGTCATCAGTTTGATTCCCAGTAGGGTGCATGCAGGAAGTAGCTGGTGTTTCCATCTCTTCCTCTCTCTCTAAAATAAGAAATGAAAACAAATAAGAAATGAAAAAAAAAAATCATACATAAAAAAAGAAAAGATTACTTAATTCCTATTAAAAATAAAATAATAAAATGGGTCAAAGCCAGTTAGCAAGGCAGGGCCACGCAGGGAGGAAGAAGAAGTCTGGAATCAGGGAAGGAGCAAGTGTGTGGTCAGAGTGAAGCACTTCCAGCTCGAGGAACAAGGCAGGTGGTCAGAGGAGGCCCACTCCCGCAGTAGATGTGAAGGCCAGGTGTGGTGACCGGGGATAGGGATACTGAGAGCCATAGGAAGATGGAGCTTGGCGGCCAGCCTGTCTTCTACTGTGTCCCTGGCTCTTAGTGGGCTCTTACTGGGCAAAGAGGTAGACATCTGGCAACACAATTTGAATTTCACATCAGAGTCTATAGTGATTCAGAATCTAGGTAGCTTTTCCATTTATTTATTTATTGATTGACTTTTCAAGAGAGAGTGAGAGAGAGGGAGGAGTAGGGACAGAGAAACATCGATTTGTTTTTCCACTTATTTATGCATTCATTGGTTCAGTCTTGCATGTGCCCAGGCCCAGGGTTGGAACCCCATCGTTGGTGTATTGGGAGGACACTAACCAACTGAGCTTCCTGGCCAGGGCCGGTAGTATTTTACATTTTCAATCCAGAAAAGGTTTAGGGAGGAGGCAGGGCTACATAGGTATTTGTAGCATACGATTTGGAACTAATCAGACCTGAATTTGGATCCCTGCTTTCTCTTGCCCAGCTGTGTGGCCCTGGGCAAGGCTTGTAACCTCTCTGGGCATCATTTGCAATGTGCGAATAAAATCCTCTCTCTGGCCTAGCTGATATGGCTCAGTGATTGAGCATTGACCCATGAACCAAAAGGTCACCACTTCAATTCCTGGTTAGGGCACATGCCTGGGTTTTGGGCTCAATTCCCAGTAGGGGGCATGCAGGAGGCAGCAGGTCAATGTTTCTAATTGATAATTCTCTCTCTCCCTCTCCCTTCCTCTCTCTCTAAAAATCAATAAAAACATATTTAAAATCCATTCTCAAATAGTATGAGGATTAAATGACATAACTGTGTTTGGCTCCTGCCTCAAAAGCTGATTAAATGGCACCTACTATTTATTCTTCAGTTACAATAATAATTATCACCCAAATAAAGTTAGGAGGCAAGAACTGAGAAGAAAAACAATCTATTCAGACATATGTAGCTATAGTCAGATAAAATTTGACCTAACTTGTAGAATACATATAAAACCATACTGTTGAAATATTCTAAGCACCCCCAAAATGATGCCATTTTACATTTCCGGAAGAGAAAAGACAGGTGTAAAACAGTTTTTAGAAGGTAGTTTGCTTAATGGTTGTGAATACAAACTCTGGAGACTGCCTGGGTTTCAGTACTGGCTTTCCTCATTTATCAACCATGACCTTGATAAGCTACTTAACTTCTTTGTGCCTCAGCATCCATGCCTGGACAGTGGGCATGACAATGGCCTAAGTGTCCCATGGAGGCTGTAATGTACATAAAGGGCCTGACCTTGCCTGGCACACAGCCAGCACTCTGTAAGTGAGTGGCCTGCCATCATTGCCACAGAAGATGCTGGAAGGGTGTGCTCCCAAATGTTAGTTGGAATTACCTCTGGGTGATAGACTACTTTTATTTTCTCCCTTTTGCATACTTTTATATTTTTTGCTTTATCTTTATATTTTCAAAATTTTCTACTAACTTATCTTTATAACTTACAAGAAGTTATATAATATATATTAATGTTATAATATGTTAATATAGGTTCTATTAAATGCAAATTATTAATTCTATGAATTATATCAATATATTAATATAATTTGATATTATTATTTAAATTTTTTTTAAAAAAATATATATTTTATTGATATTTTACAGAGAGGAAGGGAGAGAGATAGAGAGCTAGAAACGTCGATGAGAGAGAAACATCGACAAGCCGCCTCTTGCACACCCCCTACCGGGGATGTGCCCGCAACCAATGTACATGCCCTTGACCGGAATTGAACCTGGGACCTTTCAGTCCGCAGATGACGCTCTACCACTGAGCCAAACAGGCTGATATTATTATTATTAATAAAACATGTTGGCCAAAACCAGTTTGGCTCAGTGGTAGAGCGTCGGTCTGCAGACTGAAAGGTCCCAGGTTCGATTTCGGTCAAGGGCATGTACATTGGTTGCGGGCACATCCCCAGAGGGGGGGTGTGCAGGTGGTGGCTGGTCAATATTTTTCTCTCATTGACGTTTCTAGCTCTCTATCTCTCTCCCTTCCTCCCTGTAAAGGATCAATAAAATATATATATAAAAAACAAACAAACATGTTGTATAATAATTACTAAACTGTAATAAATAAGATTTTTGTTGTTGTTAATCTTCATCTGAGGACATTTTTCCATTGATTTTTAGAGAATGTGGAAGGCAGAGGGAGAGATAGAGAGAGAAACATTAATGAGAGACACATCAGTTGGTTGCCTCCTGCATTTGCCCAGATCAAAGCCTGGGATTGAACCTGCAACCCAGTTTCCTGCCCTTGACTAGGAATGAAATCCTCAACCTTTTGGTCCTCTACCCTTTGGGGCAAGGACTGATGCTCTAAGCATTAAGCAACACAGGCCAGGGCTTTTCCTTTATAGAACACTTTTGCCCGACTGATTGATCCCACCCCTTTCCGCATCGAGCTTGGGCAGGTGTCTCTCCCTGAGCTTCCCAGCTCCCTTTATCCCACAGGCTGTCGACTCCTTCTCTCTCCCATAGCTGGCTGCCTCTTCTCTCCCACCCCTAGGGCTACGTGATCTCTACAGCTTTGACCTTATGATTTTTCTTTCTTTTTTTAATTGACTTTTTTTTTTTTTGAGAGAGAGAGAGTGAGACAGAGAGACAGAGAGAGACAGAGAGAATGTGATTTGAGAGAGAAAAATTGATTGGTTGCCTTCGGTATGCACTCAGACTGGAAGTTGAACCTGCAACTTTTAAAAAATATATATATTTTATTGATTTTTTTTTTTTACAGAGAGGAAGGGAGAGGGATAGAAAGTTGGAAACATCAATGAGAGAGATACATCGGTCAGCTGCCTCCTGCACACTCCCTACTGGGTATGTGCCTGCAACCAAGGTACATGCTCTTGACTGGAATCTAACCTGGGACCCTTGAGTCCACAGGCCGATGCTCTATTCACTGAGCTAAACCCATTAGGTTGAACCTGCAACTTTTTGATGGATAGGACAACGATCCAATCAGCTGAGCCACCTGGCCAGGATGACCTTAAGGTTTTCACTGAGTAAATCTATAGTTAGCCAGTCATAATGGTTCTTATTCTTTTGTCTGTGATCCAAAGGGCTATAATAAATATTCTCATAGCTCTTTATGCACATTTGCTGTAAGTATAATTCATAAAAGTAAAACTGTAGGGTTTTAAAAGAATATAAAATGACAAGAATGTGAAATTTAATCACAAATCACCTTACAGAATCTTAAGAACTTCCAGAAGCTGGTACAAAAGTTCAGCAGGAGTTGAGGTACAGAGTGATTTTGTTGGGGAGGATAGTTTCCGGGCCTTGCAGCAGTGCTGGCGGAAAGCCTCAGGCCCACCTGCACTGAGGGCTGACCACCCACCAGCCTAGGACGGACACCAGCTGGGTCACTGCTCATGGTGATCATGGGCACGGCTGTGGCTACAGAAGATGTAGTTTGTGCAGACTGAGTTTTGACAGAACTACTGTGCGCAGGAAATCCTTGATAATCAAAGAGCCTTTGCCTGCGGGGTTGTCTCTGCGACCAGCGGAGGATCCCTGGCTTCAAGTCAGAGGGCGTTGGTCACTTTGTTTCCTGGATTAGTGATCTTTATCTCTTATTAGAATTTCACGTGAGAAAAAGACAGAAGTGCCTTTTAATTTGTACTAAGATTAGGTTACGGCTGACCTGGTTGCATTGCCTTTTGTATCCTATTGGATGGTTGCTAAGAAAATTGGGAGGTAGTCTCAAGGTTCTTCACCCCGTTTTAGAAGTGACCCTCTCACAGTTATGATTTTTACTTTTGTCTGTATTTCTTCACTTTATGGTTTTCCTTGAGATCTTTTACTCCACAGAGTGTACATTTTGGTGCCCCTTAGCTTAGGACTTCAAGCACTTTTTCTGGAGTCCATAGCCCTGGTCCTGGGCAGCCTAAGCACTGTGGGCGTGTGGGCCTGGCTGCCAGAATCAACAGAGATATTTCCTCCTTTACTGCTATCTCTGTGTGATATCACGGGTGACAGGTAGCATTTGTGTGCTTAGAGATTAGAAGCTGACGTCTTTGTCTTATTTTTATCTATACTTCTGAATTTAATCAATGATATCATTTTGTAGAATCAGAAAAAGACCTTCGATACATTGGCAAAATATTGGATGGATTTTCCTTGGCTTCTAAGTCTTTGTCTTCTAAGAAAGTAAGAGTTTTTATTTTTTTTTTTTACTGGTTTTAGTACTTAAAATATTTGCTGAGTTATATCAACAACTGGAATGATAAGTAAATTCTGTTTTCAAAAGTACCAGCATAGTTACTAACGATTGAGGAAAACATATCCTGTATTAGAAATGGCAGTCAATAGCTACGTTGTATTCAAAACAGCTAATTGCTAATCTTTTAAATCCAGACTTAGAGTGAGTAGTTTTTTCCATTAAAAAATTTACATTAGAAACTGGTGAGAGAGTGGAATTGATAAAATTCTAGGGACAATGTAATTTAAGGAAAATTAGGAAACTTTCAAAAAGCTGTAATGACCCACAGCCCTAATCCTCCTAAATGCTTGAGGCAGTAACTAATGTGGACAAGGTTCCCTGGCCTCCTTGCTGGGCTAGGAGGAGGGAGAGAAGCCATGTACATGCAGTCTGGGGAGAACTCTGTGCATTTTCCAAATAGTCCTGTTTCTATGAGATTTTGTTACAGCTTAGCCAAGTGGTGCTCTTTTTTAAAAAAAAATATATTGATTTTTTACAGAAATGAAGGGAGAGAGATAGACAGTTAGAAACATTGATGAGAGGGAAACATTGATCAGCTGCCTCCTGCACATCCCCTACTGGGAATGTGTCCCCAGCCAAGGTACATGCCCTTGACCAGAATCGAACCTGGGACCTTTCAAACTGGTTAGGACCAAGTGGTGCTCTTTCACACCCCCTCAGAGTTACCTGTTCCTAGATGGACATCCCAAGTTAATGGTGCCGATAACTCAGGAGAGGCTCCTGGCATTTATTTTGTTGGTGTAACGGGCTTCTTGTTTTTCATTCAGCACACATTTGTCTTGGCCTGTGATTCTCCAGAACTGGGGCGGCCAGGAGCAGTGCAGCCTGAGGAACTACATTTGGCATTACAGCGGCTGTCATTGATTTAGTCTTAATAGTCAATGTATTGTAATAATGAACAGAATATATTTAAAACAGTGTTGGGTGCATACTAAGCTGTTATTACTAACAGAAATGTCAGATATGTCAAAGGAGAATGTAAGTTTTTTACATTTATGAAAGGGGAGCATAAAAATGCTTGAGCAATACTCATTTGACTCAGGGTTCAAGAATAAATAGGACAAAGTCCTGACCCCCAAATAGCTCCTATTCAGTGAGGTGCAAGACAGACAAGTTCACTGAGGGGTAGAGCCATCAGTGGACAGATGGGCCCTGGGCTTCCTGAGGGCTCCTCACTTGGAGCGGGAGTGATTCAGGAGAATGCTATATTCACCTGCTTTTTCACAGACAGGCAAGTTTCCTCAATATGTGGCTGAACACCTCTAACATGCTTTGACTCTGATGGAGGGTATGAAGACTTGTGTGTACGCACCCCTTTTCTGCCATGCTCTGCTGCAGTTTTGTCTTGGTAAACATGAGGGTGTTTGCTGGCTGTTTGGGGAGTCTGTTTTTCAGAGAAGGTGGTTAGGTGAAGATGGTGAAAAATGAGATTTCCTACTAGTGATAACACCATTCTTCTATAGGTTTTCATCATGCCAGGTGCTCCCCCATAGGGAACCACCTGGGAACCTTACAACCATCTGGGAAACTTGGGAAACTCCACTTGTTGCTAATTTTGTGGGGTGGGACGCAGGCATCATTACTCTTAAAAACCTCAGGTGAGCCCAGTGTGCAGCTGGGGCTGAGAACTACTGCCAGCGGGCATTCAGTGTGTCACTGGTTACAGGCTCAGGGTTTCGGGCAGCTGAAAAATCTAGAACACAGCTTACATAGGACTGTACAGAGTGAAAGAGAGACCAAGTGCAAGGGGGACCATTTATTTATTTAAAAAATATTTTTATTGATTTCAGAGAGAGAAAGGGAGGAGGAGAGAGATAGAACATTGATGAGAGAGAAACATCATCATCAATTGCTGCTTCCTGCAGTCCCCCTACTGGGGGACTGAGCCCGAAATCTGGGCATGTGCCCTGACCAAGAATCCAATTGTGACTTGGTTCATAGGTCATTGCTCAATGATTGAGCCACACCAACTGAGCAAGAGAGACCATTAAAAAATGACCATTTTAAAATCAACTTAAAAAAAAAAAAGTTTATTTGAGCCAAAATTAATGACATATGCTAGGAAGCAAGATCTCAAATGCTTCTTTAAATACTTTATTTTTAACTTATATGATCTGCTATCATTAATGCCTGAGTTCCCCAAATACTATATTTCAATTTCGGTTCAGTTAGCTGTTTTTTAAATAGATATTTTTTGAGAGGGAGTGGGAGAGAGACAAAAACATAAAAACATAGAAACATAGAAATATCTATGTGAGAGTGAAATATTGATTGGCTGCTTCCTACTGGGGATTGAGCCCACAACCCAGGTATGTGCCCTGATCAGGAATTGAACCAGCAACCTTTCTGTGCATAAGCCAGTGCCCAACCAACCAAGCCACACCAGTCAGGAACAGTCAGATTTTGAATTAAAAATACCTCAGATAGTCCTGGCTGGTTTGGCTCAGTAGATAGAGCATCGGCCTGCAGACTGAAGGGTCCTTGGTTCGATTCCAGTCAAGGGCAGATGCCCGGATTACAGGCTTGATCCCCAGTAGGGTCCGTGCAGGATGTTTCACTCTCATCACTGATGTTTTTCTCTCTCTTCCTCTTCCTTCCTCTCTGAAATCAATAAAAAAATAAGTTAAAAAAATACCTCAGATAAAAAAACTAAGGCCTAAAATTCCAATTTGGAATTGAAACAACCAGAAAAATATTTCTGAATTTATTTTTATTTTTATTTTATTATTATTATTATTATTATTATTATTATTATTATTTTTTAATATATTTTTATTGATTTTTCACAGAGAGGAAGAGAGAGGGATAGAGAGCTAGAAACGTCGATGAGAGAATCATCGACCAGCTGCCTCTTGCACACCCCCTTCCGGGGATGTGCCCGCAACCAAGGTACATGCCCTTGACCGGAATCGAACCCGGGACCTTTCAGTCCGCAGACCGACGCTCTACCACTGAGCCAAACCGGTGCCGGCAATATTTCTGAATTTAAAAGTAACTTATTTAAAGATATTTTTTCTATCCTTTGAACCATACTTTTCTAAAATTTCTGATATACAGTGGGCCAGTTCTGCACGTGGGCCTGTATATCATGTTATTGTTGTCATTGTTCTTGTTCTTATATGAAACATGCATATTAGCATCTCTGTGTAGCGTGGGCAGGGCTGATATTTAAAATGTCTGGTTGTTAGAACAGTGTGGTTCTGGTGACCCTCCACATCCAGAATGGATGTTGGCTGGGCACCGGGACGGTCTGTTTTCACTGCTGCCTACTCACCTGCTGAAGTTAGCCTGGGAAATAATGCTCAGAGGTAACAGGTTTTCTTGGTTAAATCAAACACCATCATCTTGCATTTGTATTTTCAGAATTTTGTTCTGTGTGTGTGTTTTTTAAAGGTTTACCCACCTCCTGAATTGCCAAGAGACTATCGACCAGTGCATTATTTCAGACCTGTGGTAGCTGCAACCTCAGAGAACTCTCACTTACGTCAAGTGTTATCAGAATCAGCTGGAAAGTCAATACATGACCCAGGGACACAGAGTAGACACCAACTGAATGCCTCCAAGCGAGGAGAGTTGCTAGGAGAAACACCTATTCAAGGTATGTGTCATGGAGGAGATTAAAGTAATTAAACTGATGATAATCTGAGTGATCAAAATCAAAATGGAAAGATGTTTTCCCATTGAAATTTCCCATGATTTTGTATTCCCAAACTAGGAATAAAATTGCTTATTGTACATAAACATGAGTGTACATCCTTTACTTCTTAAGATTTGTTTCCCACCATTAGTTTCACTTATGTCATTGAAATTACAACCCTTATCTTAAGCTCAGCAGTTTTAAGATTTTAATAATTGTTCAGCAATGTTGTGAAGACTAGGGACATGTGTACCTTCACTGTCTTTGCACAGACTGGGAACAGGATTTTTTCCTCAGGGGAAAGCGTTCTGTAGCACTTTCCTGAAAGCCTGAAAGGAATGAATGCATGTGAAAGTATTTGCAGATGTGGAGAGTCCCCTGTATGTTGGAGCAGAAAGACCCACTAAGCAAGATGAACTTGTACTTGCCCTTTGGGTATCTCAAATATAATAGACCCAAACAGAAGTCTTGGCTCTCACTTCTTTCCCCAAACTTGCTTTTTCTCCAGTCTTCCCCTTCTCAGTAAATGTGACCCACTGCTCAGATCAGAATGCAGGACTAGTTTTCTGATCCTCTCTCTCCTTCCTTCCGTTGACCCTATCCACAGCTGACCCTATCCAAGTCCTCTCATTTCTACCCCATATACTTTTCTGTATTTCTGCTGCTTCCTCCTTGGTCTGAATGCCCATCTATTCTCACCTCTACTATTGCAGTAGCTTCCTGATTTGTCTTATTTGTTCTCTTTAGTTCATTTCCCTCAACAGTAGCTAGATGAACCAAATTATATCACTATTCCCCTTAAAATGATCTAGTACTTTTTGTTTTGGTTTATTTTTATTTATTGATTTGAGAGAAAGGAAAAGAGAGACATTGATTTAAAAAAAAAATATATATATATATATATATTATTGATTTTTTACAGAGAGGAAGGGAGAGGGATAGAAAGTTAGAAACATCAATGGGAGAGAAACATTGATCAGCTGCCTCTAGCACACCTCTTACTGGGGATGTGTCTCAATCAAGGTACATTCCCTTGACCGGAATCGAACCTGGGACCTTTCAGTCTGCAGGCTGGTGCTCAGGGACTGGAGGTCTGGAGTTTGAGACATTGATTTTTTGTTTCAGTTGTTTATGCATTCATTGGTTGATTCTTGTATGTGCCCTGAATGGATTGAACCACAACCTTGGCATATTGAGATGACTCTCTAACCAACTGAGCTATCTGACCAGGGCCACCAGTATTTCTTCTTTTTTTAAATATATTTTTATTGAATTCAGAGAGGAAAGGTGAGGGAGAGAGAGAGATAGAATCATCATTGATGAGAGAGAATCATTAATCAGCTGCCTCCTGCATGCCCCACACTTGGATCAAGTCTGCAACCTGGGCATGTGTCCTGACTGGGAATCGAACCCTGAACTTCTGGTTCATAGGCTGACACCATATCAGCTGGGCCTTCCCTTATATTTTGGCTTCTTCTTTTTATTTAGAGGTTACCTCAAATATTATATCTTTAGAGGGACCTTCCAGACCTTCCCCGCCCACCAGACAGCTAGTTATCTCTCCCTCTATCCCCACAGCTAGCCCTCTCACTTAAGTCACCCTCAATCACATCACCCTGTTTCCCCACAGTGCTCCTCTCATAGCAGTCCTCTGGTGTTGGTTTTTGGCTTCTTTAATGTCCTCCCGCCTCATTTGTGAGAGGAGGACCTTGTTTGCATTGTCCTGCAGCTCCAGGTCAGTGTGTGGCATGGAGTGAGTGCTCAGTGAGTGTTTGTGACATGAGTGGATGTGTGATGAACCGGACTGTGGAAATGGAGGCCACCAGGGACTGGAGATCTGGAGTTTGAGATGTCAGCTTCCTCATTCAGGGACCACTCATGGCTTGATAAACATCCAAGTTATAACCTCCATTTTTACCAACTGTAAAATGGGCTTAGATTTTATTACTGTCTAGATTACAGGGGTAATTTGAATACAGATGAAACAGTAAATGTAAAATACACTAATTACATGAATTTGTGATATTGAAAGTGTATGTACAGAAAAATGTAAGTAAACTTGTTTTACTTTTAATCTCTTCTTCTTATTGTTTTTATTTAGGTTCAGCTACCTCAGTGTTAGAATTTCTGTCCCAAAAAGATAAAGAGAGATTCAAAGAAATGAAGCAGGCAGCTGACCTTAAAGCAGCTCAGCTCAGGGCCCAGAGTCTGGCCCAGAATGCCGCAAGCAGCAGAGCCCAGCCCCCCTCTCCAGACGTTGGACACAGCTCTTGGCACACGGCATTGCGTGGTGGGACAGTCACCACAAAAGCCAGCAACTTCAAACCTTTTGCCAAAGATCCAGAAAAGCAAAAACGATATGAAAAGTTTTTAGCAAGTTTGAAACGGGGTCAGAAAGGTGAGTGCTAGGCCTCGGTCTCCCATGTCTCAGCCCGCGGCAGTGTTCTCGGCATTCTGAGATTTAAAGTTGAAGCACCCTGCTCTGCCAGTGTGCTTCGTTCTGCGGGAAACTGCAGAGGTTTCAGGTCCTGGCTTTTGCCCTTCGGAAGGAAGAACAGTTGGCTGGTGTTTCTGTTGATCTCGGCTCCTGAGGCTAGCCGTTTAATTAGAGAACATGCCGTGGTGGTGGCTAATGCTAGATTACAGACCATTTACTGTTTGCAAATGCTTGATCTCTGAAAGTGTTGTATTTTACACAAGAGACCAAGGTCATCTCCCACTTATCTTAAGGTTGTGCCCACCCAGCCCTCATCATAGTTGAAAATTTGACTTATAGAGGAGAGTTGGCTGTTGAACCATTATACAGAATAAAAAACCCACTCTGATCTATGAAGTAAATAAATATGGCCAGACGGGAGAGGGCTGACTGTTATACACAGCAGTCCTTGTAAGAAGTAGCAAATTTAAAGGGTTTGATTTTCCACAGCAGATCTTTGTATATTGTACTTGAACTCACTACTAAGAATCCAGACCCCAAATGTTCATTTGGTAAATAAAAAAAAGTTAGAAAAATAAAGAAAGTTAGAGAAAGGAATGTTTTTTGTTTTTTTTTAAAATTAAATTTATTTAATTAGGAATGTAATTGGGATGAACTTATTGTTTGGGAATGGTAACAGGTTCCTTGTTTCGAAGATGTAATCAAGCATTAGTTCCCATTTTTTTTCCTCTGATGTTTGCAGTAGAATTCAAAAGCATCATTTTGAGAGAGTCAGCAATATGACCTGTCAAGTACCTCCTTACCATGCTCTTAAAAACCAGCATGAGGACTTGTCTCTGGTGAAATCTGTAGGGACCCAGTGGTGCCACCAGGCGTTCCCTTTAAGCCCCATGTTTTTCCTAAGAGTGAAGGGTTTCTTGTTCTCTGTACCGTAGATGCTCTGGAACATTGTCTGGATCCCAGTATGACAGAGTGGGAGCGAGGCCGAGAACGGGAGGAATTTTCTCGGGCAGCCCTGCTGTATGCATCTTCCCATTCGACCTTGTCCTCCAGGTTCACTCATGCCAAGGAGGATGACGATTCAGATCAAGTAGAAGTTCCTCGAGACCAAGAGGTCTGTTACATTATGTCCCTACCTGGTATATTTAAAAAGAAGGTTTTTATTTTTTTTTTTATTTTTTTTTTTTTTTTTTTTTTTGAGAGAGGAAGGGACAGAGAGAAAGAGAGAGCACGCATGTGAGAGAGAAACATCAATCAGTTGCCTCTCATATACATCCTGACCAGGGATTGAACTGATGATCTTTTGGTGCACAGAGCAACGCTCAACCAGCTGAGCCACTCCAGCCAGGGTGCCTAGTGCATTAAAAAAAAAAAAAAATTATCTTGCCGAAACCGGTTTGGCTCAGTGGATAGAATGTTGGTCTGTGGACTAAAAGGTCCCAGGTTCGATTCCAGTCAAGGGCATGTACATTGGTTGCGGGTACATCCCCGATAGGGGTTGTGCAGGAGGCAGCTGGTCGATGTTTCTCATCGATATTTTTAGCTCTCTATTCTTCTTCCTTCCTCTCTGTGGAAATCAATAAAATTATTTAAAAAAAATTATCTTGAAGGTATTAGTATTACCAACACTCACCTTCCTTTCCCCATTGACCCTCTCCTCCCCACTCCTGCCCCCTTCTCACTCCTTATACATCATTAAAAATTATTTATTTATTTATTTATTTGAGAGAGAGAGAGAGAAAAGGGGGAGGGGAGAGAGAAATATCAATTTGTCATTTTACTTGTTTATGCATTCGTTGGTTGATTCTTTTATTTTTTAAAAATATATTTTTATTGATTTCAGAGAAGAGGGAGAGGAAGAGAGAGAGATAGAAGCATCAATGATGAAAGAGAATCATTGATTGGCTGCCTCCTGCACATCCCACACTGGGGAACAAGCCCACAACCTGGGCATGTGTTCTTGACCAGAATCAAACCTGGGACCCTTCAGTCCACAGGCTGACATTCTATCCACTGAGCCAAACTGACTAGGGTTCATTGGTTGATTCTTTTAAGTGCCTTGACCAAGATTGAACCTGGAACCTTGGCGTATTGGGACAATGCTCTGACCAACTGAGATACCTGGCCAGGGCCTATCTGGTACATTTTTATTTTTTATTTTTAAAAATATATTTTATTGATTTTTTAAAGAGAGGAAAGGAGAGAGCTAGAGAGCTAGAAACATCGATGAGAAAGAAACATCGACCAGCTGCCTCCTGCACACCCACTACCGGGGATGTGCCCCCAACCAACGTACATGCCCCTGACCGGAATCGAACCTGGGACCTTTCAGTCCGCAGACTGACGCTCTACCACTGAGCCAAACCTTTTTCGGCTACCTAGTGCATTTTAAAATTAAAACATGCATAGCTGCTGAGTGAAATAAATCAGTCAGAGAAAGACAAGTATCACTTATATGTAGAATCTAATTAACAAAATAAACTGATGAACAGAGTGGATTCAGAGTTATGGAAGCATGGAACAATGAGGAATCTTGGAGGGAAAGTGGGGGAGGGTAGATGAGTGGGAAGTAATCAACCAAAGACTTGTATGCATATATGCATAACCCATGGACACAGATAGTGGGATGGAGGGCCTGGGGTGGAGGTGGGTGGAAGGGGAGGTCAATGGGGGAAAAAAGGGGGCATATGTAATACTTTCAACAATAAAGATTTAAAAAAAAAACCCACACACCAAACACTGCATAGCTAACTATTTAAATTGCTTCAGTGAAAAGATCAAAATATACATGGCATTGGAAAATTATAAATTACGTTTATGTTTTTAGCTTCCAGTGTACTTTAGCAAAAATGTAGCATGACTGGTTGTGTAATTGTGAAAAATTGTTTGGAAACTTGTAAATGGAAGAGCAGTCAGGTCAGTTGTGTGACCACCTGATGACACAGAGTGAATGTCTTTTCCCAGAATGATGTCAGTGACAAGCAGTCGGCTGTGAAGATGAAGATGTTTGGGAAGCTCACCCGAGACACATTTGAATGGCATCCTGACAAGCTTCTATGTAAGAGGTTTAATGTGCCTGACCCTTATCCAGAGTAAGTTGGATAAACCTCCCCTTCTATCAGTACTTATCCTATATAGTAATAAAAGGCTAATGTGCAAATTGACCAAACAGCAGAACCACTGGTTGCTATGACACACACTGACCACCAGGGAGGCAGACGCTCAATGCAGGAGCTGTCCTCTGGTTGTCAGTGCACTCCCACAGGGGGAGTGCTGCTCAGCCAGAAGCCGGACTCATGGCTGGTGAGCGTAGTGGTGGTGGCAAGAACATCTCTTGCCTCTCTGGCAGTGCTAAGGATGCCCTAAGCTGTCAGTCGTCCGAGGGCTCCCGGACTGCCTGAGAGGGTGAAGGTTGGGCTCAGGGATGCTCCCTCCCACCCCCCTCCACACACACACACACACACACACACACACACACTCCAGTGCATAATTTTCATGCACTGGGCCTCTATTAATTTATATACAGTTTACATTTAAAATGTTACTTATGTTTTATAATTCTTTATAAAAACTTAGTGCTTCTTATTTGAATATAAACACCCCAAGAAAGCACATACAGTTGAATCAGCGACTTTGTTAGAAGATTTAGGTATGCAGTTGACCTTTGAACAATGCAGCAGTTAGGAGCTCTGACACCACCACCCCAAACTCCAAAAGTCCATGTATAACTTTAAAAAAATTACACTTTATTTATTTACTTATTTATTTATATTTATTTTTAAATCATCACCCGAGGATATTTTTCCATTGATCTTTTAGAGAGAGTGGAAAAGAGAGGGAAAGACAAAGAGAAACACTGATGTGAGAGAAAAATATCAATTGGTTGCCTCCTGCTTGAGCCCCGAACAGGAACCCGCAACCAAGGTACATGCCCTTCACCAGAATGGAACTTGGGATCCTTCGGACCACAGGCCAATGCTCTAATCCACTGAGCCAAACCGGCTGGAGCTGTGACTTCTTTTTTTTAAAGGTCCAATGAATTCTCATTCCAAAGGTTTTTTTTGTTTTATTTTTATTTTAGAGAGAGGAAGGGAGAAGGATAGAGAGAAACGTCATTGAGAAAGAAACATCAATTGGTTGCCTCATAGTGGGGATCAAGCCTGATCATGTTCCCTGAGCATGTTCCCTGACGGAATCGAACCATGCGTGACCTCTTGGTTCATGGGCTGATGTTCAACCACTGAGTAGCACCAGCTGGGCTCAAGTATTACTTTTGACTCCCCAAAAACTTAACTACTAGCAGTACTGTTGACCAGAAGCCTTACAGGTAACATAAACAGTCGACATATTATTTTGTATGATATATGTATTACATATTGTGTTCTTATAATAAAGTAAGCTAGAGAAAATAAAATGTTAAGGAAATCATAAGGAAAATTCATTTACTGTATCTGTTTAAAAAAAATCTACATGTAAGTGACATGCGCAGTTCAAACCTATGCTATGTTTTTAGCAGTGGAACTTTTCCTTAATGGAAATCATCTTCAAAGTTAAATTCTAGCTCTTATTATACTCAGGAAAAAACAAATGGTTACTAAAATCACCCATTATAAATTCTTTTTAAAAAAAAAAATAATTCTTTATTGTTCATATTATTACAAAAGTTCCTCATTTTTTCCCCCTCCACTAGGTTCCCACCCCACCCTCTGCTCTTCCCCATCCACCATTGTCCTCATCCATAGGTGCACAGTTTATGTTCAGTCTCTTCCCGCACCCCCCTCTCTTTTCCCCGAGAATTGTCAGTCCACTCCCTTTCGTACCTCTGATTCTATTATATTCAACAGTTAATATTGTTCATCAGGTTTTTTAATTCTCTTGGTTTTTAGATTCACTTGTTGATAGTTACGTATTTGTTGTTCATAATTTTTATCTTTATTTTCTTCCTCTTCCTAAAGAACCCCCTTCAGCAATTCATATAATTCTGGTTTGGCGGTGATGAACTCCTTTAGCTTTTTTTTATTTGTGAAGCTCGTTTTCTGGCCTTCGATTCTGAGTGATAGCTTTGCTGGGTAGAGTATTTTTGGCTGTAGGTCCTTGTTATTCATCACCTTGAATATTACTTGCCATTCCCGTCTGTCCTGCATGGTTTCTGTTGAGAAATCAGCTGACAATTGTATGGGTGCCCCTTTATAGGTAACTACCTGCTTTTCTCTCGCTGCTTGTAAGATTCTCTCTTTGTCTTTTGCTCTTGGAATTTTAATTATGATGTGTCTTGGTGTGGTTCTCTTTGGATTCCTTTTGTTTGGGGTTCTGCGGGCTTCCTGGATTTGTAAGTCTATTTCTTTCACCAGGAGGAGGAAGTTTTCTGTCATTATTTCTTTTAATATGTTTTCGGTATCTTGATCTCTGTCATCTTCTGGGATGTCCATAATTCTGATGTTGGTTCGCTTGAAGTTGTCCCAGAGGTTTCTTACATTATCTTCAACTTTCTGGATTCTCTTATCTTCTTGCTTCTGCAGAGGAGTGTCCTCTGGCTCTTTGTGTTCCAAGTCTTTGACTTATTCTTGCAATCTTCCATTCTGTTTTTAGGACTGTATAATATTTTTTATTTCAGACAATGTATTCTTTATTTCTTATTGATCCCTTATTATTTCTTATTGATCCCTTATTATTTCTAGTTGATCCTTTATTATTTCTAGTTGATCCCTTTTCATATCTTCATAGGTTCTGTTTATTTTATTGGCCTTTTCTAGGAGATTCTTAAAAAACCTTATAAGCGTGGTTTTGAACTCTATATCCAGTCCCTTTTTGTCCTCCATTTCTTTTGTTTGTGATCTGTTTTCTTGTCTTGGCATTTTCGCTGCTTCCCTGAGTTGTAAGATGGGAGGATCAGCTGTATCTATACCAGGAGTCAGCGTTATTCAACTAGACTTGGAAAACTGCAAGAGCCTCTGTGCTAAGGTTGGATGGGGCGGAGTTTCAGGGTCGAGCCTACAGCCTTGGCTTCCGGTTAGCCCCACCCTATGAGGTTCCTGAGTCTCAGTGTTCCTCAGTGTCTTTTGGTACTCGCTGCAAGCACTCTGAGAGAAAGGTGCCCTAGAGTTTCGCCCGCTACCAGACAGTCTAGTCTCTCCCCCAACAAGCCTGCAACTGGGGTTCAGTGCAGTTGGAAGTGAGGTTAAGAGCAGTCCGGAGCTTATGTCTCCTTCCTGCTAGGGCAATCCAGAAGCTCAATCAACAGTCTGTCCTCTGGGCGAAATGTGTGCGACTCGGAAGCTCTGCCTTTTGCCGCTCCCCTGAGCTTCTGCCTTACAGCCCAGATTCCCTCTGTATGAGCCTGGATCCCCAGGGTCTGGCCTAGAACTGGGGTTCAGTGCTGTCGGATCTGGGGTTCAGCACAGTCCGGAGCTTTTATCTCCTTCCCGCTAGGGAATGCCAGCCAGGCATTCAGCCACCCCACCTCTCCAGCTCCGTCCTCTCAGCGCACGCAACGTGTCTCCGTACCTTAGGCTTTTACAGCTCCTCTGATTTTCCTTATGGTTTTCTCTTTCCTTCTCATTGTAGAATTTCCAGTCAGTCAACTTTCCTGTAGTTCTGGATAATGTCCACTTTATATTTTAGTTGTATTTTTTGAAATTGTTGTGTGAGGTTATAGTTAGGCGGTTACCTATGCCGCCATCTTGGTTTCTTTTCCCATTATAAATTCTTAAGTTGCTTTGACAAGTGAAAACATCTTAGGGGACCTTTATAGTCAAGTAGGAGAGCTACAGGTGAAATACATGAGATGATAAGCTTTATAGGAATTAGATTTTTTTCTCACAGTTGTTATTAAAATTAAATTCATATTTTATTTTTTCTTTTCAACCCCCAGCTCAACTTTAGTTGGCTTACCAAGAGTGAAACGTGACAAATACTCAGTCTTCAACTTTCTGACACTCCCAGAGACAGCTTCCTTGCCTGCAACTCAAGTCTCAAGTGAAAAAGTGCCGCAGCACCGAGGGCCCGACAGTGAGTATGGCTTCCTCAGATCCCTGTGCTGACCATGGTCTGTTGGGAAGACAGAAATAAAGGGTCATCTAATCCTAAGGATACACATAGTGCAAACTCGCCTCCCATAAACATCATTGCTCATATGGATACCTTAGCTCATGTTGTAATGGTTCAGATGTGTCCTGTTTGGGGTTGGTACTCCGCCTCAGCATCTGCCACATGCCCAACACTTTGCACAGTGCCCGGCCTGTAGTAGGGTCACTGATGTTCTTGAATGAGCTGTAATGAAAAACTCGTTTTTTGCTTGCTAATTCTGATGTTATGTCTGTGTCCTACTTTTCAGAATCAAGAAAATCCAGATGGGATACATCTAAACAAGAAAAGAAAGAAGATTCCATTAGTGAATACTTAAGTTTGGCTAGATCAAAAGTTGGTCCACTTGAACAAGAGTCCAGTCCGTTAGTAAACAAAGAGGAAGTGCATATGAAGGAATCACTCTCAGATAAGGTATTTGGGTTTCTGGTTCTCTTTGCCAGCTAGCTGTGGCCTTCACCTTTCTCTATAGTGAGCAGGGCTCAGCACACACTATGAAGGGCTAAATATTAAATTTTGAAAGCTTTATGGACCATAGTCTCTATTGCAACTTTCCAACCCTGCTGTTGAAAGGAACCACGGGCAATGTGAAAACAATAGGGTACTTGTATTTTCTATAATAATAAAAGCGTAATATGCAAATCGGACAAACGACAAAGCAGAACGATTGTCCAGATGACCTTCTGGACGAGCACGCTATGACATGCGCTGGTACCAAGCTAGCCAAGGTGGGTGCGATGTGATTTGTTGGGGACCCCACCATCGCTTCTCAATTGCCCTGCAGAGGGAGGCCCAGGCCACCCTCTGTGGGGTGATTGAGGGGGCTCCGTGATTGATCACTCCAAAGAAGGAGGCCCAGGCCCCCAACTGGCTGGGCGATAGATTAGGGGAGCAGGGGGGGTCCCGTGATTGCCCCGAAGAGGAAGGCCCAGGCCACTTTCTGTGCAGCTATTGACCACAGAGCCCTGGCAGGGTAGGCGAGGCCTCCCTCTGCATGGCAAACAATCTGGAGGCCCTGCGATCCATCACACCCCACACCTGTCACCTGCAGAGGGAGGCGACCAGTGGTGGGGGAGAAGGGTAGCAGCACTGGACAGACGGCAAGCAGTGGCAATGGTGGGGGCAGGGCCAGCTGCTGGCAGCTGGGGGAAGGAAAGCACCAATAGGCCCTGATCGCCGGACAGGCCTAGACGCCCTACCCAAGGGGTCCCAGATTGTGAGAGGGCACAGGCTGGGCTGAGGGACAACCGCCAACCCCATGCACGAATTTTGTGCACTGGGCTTCTAGTGTTCCAATAAAACAACAGACAGTAGGTTGGATTTGGCCCATGGGCTGTAGTTTGCCAACACCTGCTCTACCGTCCAACAATTTGAGTCACAGCTTAAATCATCTGAGGAGAGGTTATAAATTCTGTCTAGAATGGTTTTCACTTAGCAATAACCATTTAAACAAAATTCAATGTATTTGTATTAGAAAATATAATTTTCCAAGTGGAGAAAATAGAGAGAATATCCATTTAAAAAAATTTACTGTTTTTAATAGTTAACAGTTATACTTAATAAAAAGTTGCTTTTATTACCCCTGGCAATGGGCAAGGAGACACCTGATTGGTGGTTTTGTTCTTTTATCAATCAAGGGCAAAGCAGTTATTCATCTAGCTTTTATTTCTCGCCTAGTAGTGGAGTGCTGGGTAATAATATACTTACAGATTTAACTTTATAAGAAACTGCCAGGCTGTATTCCAAAGTGGTTTTTGCTTCAGGTATTTTGAAACTCTCGTTAATTATATACTCATTTCAGATTATTATATCTTTTTTGTAAATTGACTCTTATCATTATGTAATATATCTTTTGCATAGTATGTATTTTTTTTTTATCATTTTAACCTAATTCATTACCTTTAAAGTGGGTTTTTTATAAAAAGCAGGTAATTGTCATTGAGTCTTTTTTTTTTAATGCATTTGGTAATATACATGGTTTAATTTGTGTTTTGATCATCTGCATATAATTTGTTGATATATTTGGATTTAGATTTACAATTCTGTTATTTGCTTTCTGTCTGTTTTTATTCTTTTCCCCCCTCTCTTTTCCCTTTTCTGCCTTCTTTTGTATTAAATAATTATTATTCCATTTTAATTAATTATTATTGTATTTTAAAATATATTTTTATTTCAGAGAGGAAGGGAGAGGGAGAGATAGAAACATCAATGATAAGAGAAAATCATTAATTGGTTGCCTTCTTCACGGCCCCTAGTGGGTGAGGATTGAGCCCGCAACCTGGGACTTCTTAGTCCGCGGGACAATGCCCAGTTTATTGAGCCACACTGGCTAGGCAATTTATCTATTCATTATTTTTTACTCTCTTCATTTTTTAGTGATTATTTTAGGGATTATAATATACATATTTACCTCTTCACAGTCTACTTAGAATTGATACTTTACCCCTTCAAGTGTAGAAATCTTACCACATATAGGTCTCTTTTCTCTCCATTTTATATTGTCTTATACACTGAAAACTTGATCAGACAATTTTTTTTAATATATTTTATTGATTTTATACAGAGAGGAAGGGAAAGAGACAGAAAGCCAGAAACATCGATGAGAGAGAGTCATCGATCAGCTGCCTCTTGCACACCCCCCACTGGGGATATGCCCACAACCAAGGTACATACCCTTGACCAGAATCGAACCCGGGTCCCTTCAGTCCCCAAGCCGACGCTCTATCCACTGAGCCAAACCGGTCTCGGCACAATTTTTTTTTTTAAATTATTGATTTTATACAAAGAGGAAGGGAGAGAGATAGAGAGTTAGAAACATCGATGAGAGAGAGTCATCGATCAGCTGCCTCTTGCACACCCCCTACTGGGGATATGCCCGCAACCAAGGTACATGCCCTTGACCGGAATCGAACCTGGGTCCCTTCAGTCCCCAAGCCGACACTCTATCCATTGAGCCAAACCAGTCCCGGCCAGACAATGTTTTGATTTTTACTTTCAATGTGTTATATATATATATATATAATTAAAAATATATATATTTTATTGATTTTTTACAGAGAGGAAGGGAGGGAGATAGAGAGCTAGAAACATCGATGAGAGAGAAACATCGACCAGCTGCCTCTTGCACACCCCCTACCGGGGTTGTGCCCGCAACCAATGTACATGCCCCTGACCAGAATTGAATCTGGGACCTTTCAGTCCACAGACCAATGCTCTACCACTGAGCCAAACCGATTTCGGCATCAATGTTATATATTTAAAAAAACTGATGAAAAGAGAATAGTCTATTGTATTTTCTGAGGTATTTATCATTTCTGTTGTTCTATCTTTATTCCTGAAGTTCCAGGTTCCCTCTTCTATCACTGTCTTCTGTCTGCTGAACTTCCTGTAGCATTTCTTTTCAGCACTTCCAGCAACTAATTCTCTTAATTTTCCTTAATCAGAGAATGTCCTGTATTTTATCTTCATTTCTAAAGGATGCTTATGCTAGAAACAGAATTCTGGGTCAACAATTCTTTTCTTTTAGTCCTTAAAAATGTTATACCACTTCCTTTTGGCTTTCCTGATTTTTGACGAGAAATCAATAGTCATTCATATAATTATTTATCTCTTTATATTATGTGTTATTTTCTTCTTGTTTTTTTATTTTATTGATTTTTTGCAGAGAGGAAGAGAGAGGGACAGAGAGTCAGAAACATTGATGAGAGAGAAACATCAATCAGCTGCCTCCTGCACACCCCCACCGGGGATGTGCCCACAACCAAGTTATATGCTCTTGCCCGGAATCGAACCTGGGACCTTTCAGTCCGCAGGCCGACGCTCTATCCACTGAATCAAGCCGGTTTTGGCTCCTCTTGTTTTTTTATTGTGATGTATCTAGGCATGATTTCTTTGAGATTATTGTGTTTGGGGTTTGCTGAGCTACTTGAATCTTTAATTTTGTCTTTCCCTGGATTTGGACATTTCCAGCCCTTACTTTTTTCAGATATTCCTCCTGTACCACACTCGCTCCTCTCTGTTCCTTTCCCCCTCTTTCTGTTGTTCAAAACAGATAATTTATATTGATCTGTCTTCAAGTTTACTGACTTTCTTCTATCTGCATTCTGCTAATGAGCTCATCTAGTGAATTTTTAATTTTGATTATTGTATTTTTCATTTCTAAAATTTCCATTTAGTTCTTCATATCTTTTATTTCCTTGCTGAGACCGTTTTATTTTTCCAGTTGTTTGCTCTTATTCTTAGAGCACAATTGTAAACGGTGCTTTAAAGTCTGTCTGATAATTCCAACATTTTGTCAATTTGGGTTTGTATCTGTTGATTGTCTTTTGCAAGTTGAGATGTTCTTGGTTGTTTGTATACCAAGTAATTTAAGTTTGCATCCTAGACATTTTGAATATTATGCCATAAGGTACTGGGTCTTTTTCACATTCTAAGAAGAATGCTGAATTTTCTTTTTATTTTGCTTTAGTAGACAATCAACCTAGTAAGTAAGTTCAGGCTGCAATTCCAACCCCTCTTCTGTGGGCTGTGGTTCAAATGTCAGTCCAGTGTTCAGAGCCTTTCTATTCATATCTTTTCTGCATGTGCACTTCCCAGTGGTCTGGGACCTGTCTGGTAGTTAATCCCATAGTTCTGTTATCAAAGCCTGTGGTTCGCTGTTTAGAATCTGATTCACACATGCTTAGCTTGGAAGCGAGCCAGAAGCTCATCGACCATGTTATAGGAGCTCCTCCTCTTCATGATCTTCCTGACCTTCTGACTCGCTGGGCTCCTCCTTCCACTCCAGTCAGAAAGCCAGGATGGAGATATATATATATATATATATATATATATTTTTTTTTTTTTTTAAAATATTTTATTTTATTTTATTTTCATTGATTTGAGAGAGGAAGGGAAAGGGAAAGAGAGATAGAAACATCAATGATGAGAGAGAATCATTGATCGGCTGCCTCCTGCACGGCCCACACGGGGATTGAGCCCACAACCTGGGCATGTGCTCTGACTGGGAATTGAACTGTGACCACCTCCTGGTTCATAGGTTGATGTTCAACCACTGAGCCACACTAGGCAGGACTTATTTAAAAACTGATTTTTGAGAGAGTGAGAGATGGAGGCTGGGGGAAGGGAGAGAAAGAAAGAGAAAAACATCAATCTGAGAGAGAAACATCAGTCAGTTTTTTCCTATATGTGCCCTTGCCAGGGATTGAGCCCAGAACCCAAGTATGTGCCTTGACCAGGAATCAACCCGCCACCTTTCTGTGTACATGATGACACTTTAACTAATAGCCACAGTGGCCAGGGCAGAAAGCCAGGACTTTAGATTCCCTGTTTTGCCTTACACTTCCTGTGACGTTCTTTGTTGTTGGAATCAAGTGGCAGGAAGGGGAAAAAGCAGTGGGATTTGATCCAGAACCATGGCATCTGTGGTCAGAGAAAAAGGTTCCCCTCCTTCAGAGCCTGGCAGCTGATGCCACCTCCCTGCTGCCATATGGAGGGTTTGGAACTTCTCCATCTGGCTTTTTAAAAATTATTATTTATTTATTTTTCCTTTTTATTTTATTTTATTTATTTATTTTTTATTTTATTTATTTTTAAAATATATTTTTATTGACTTTTTACAGAGAGGAAAGGAGAGAGATAGCTAAAAACGTCGATGAGAGAGAAACATCAACCAGCTGCCTCTTGCACACCCCCTACCGGGGATGTGCCCGCAACTAAGGTACCTGCCCTTGACCGGAATCGAACCCGGGACCTTTCAGTCCGCAGATCAATACTCTACCACTGAGCCAAACCGGTTTCGGCTTTTTTTTTTTTTTTTTTATTAAGATATTACATGTGTACATATCTTCCCATTGGCCACCCTCTTCCTCCCCCTCCCCCCCCCCCCTTTTTTTTTATTCTTACCCTTTTTAATGGCATAAAACCGACTCAGAGACTCTGATCTGTGATTCGGTCATTAGGTTAGAAAGTCTTCTCTGTTTTCTCAAAAAATAATGTTGATACACTATGTAGATAAGTTTTTCTGGAGAGGGTTTTTTTTGTTTTGTTTTTTTTTTTTCTTTTTTTCTTTTTTTCTTTTTCACTTGTTAACCATGAGGCCTTAAGGGGCTCTTTCCTGATCGGAGTTATTTAATATGCATTTTTTCTGCTTCTAAGTTTTTATTAACGTGACTTTTTAAAAACAAGCATGTCCATTCCACGTGTGGAGGGTAGAGAGGGAGAAGAGGGGAGAGAGGGCAGGGTAAGGAATTCTGCTCCCGGTTCATCCCGGTCGCCGTGGATTCCACCTGCAGGGAAGGTGCTGAGGGATCCTTCCTGGGCTCCATCCCCAGAGCGCTCAGCTCTCGCGCTGGGTTGCCGGGCCTGAGCCGTTTTGGACTGGTGACTGGTAATATTTTTTCTTTGAAGTCAGCACAGATGGTGAAGGGTGGTGAGATGCTATGTATTTGGTGGGTATTATGATTGTCATTTGATTCCATTACAGCTCCTGTTACATTTTAGAAAAAATATAAACAAAAAAGATCAGCTTGTATAGTTATCTAAGAGTAGAATATCTCATATATTTATGACAGTCCTGCCTGTACATTTAATAATATTGATACCATTAAGGGCCACAAATGTCTATGGACACAGATGTCAGCCAGCTGTCATTCAGTTTGTGATCCGGGCATGTGACATTGGTATCTATGGTCTGACCTAAATATACCAGACTCATGATTCTTCTAGGGCAACACTACCTTGATTTCCTGTGCTTCACTGTCAGGCTCTCTCTCCTGACTTTTTATATGATTAAAAATATATTCTTTTGAAAGAATCTCAGAAGCTTAAATACAGTACAGGTAAATCTTTCTTGAACTGCTTGAGCATGCCACAACACTGTGTGTCCTTCAAAGAAGCACTTTGTCCTATGTAATCAGTATATCCGTCAAAATCAGGAAATTAATATTGCTATTAACTATTCTCTAATTCTCAGACCCACTCAAAGTCTACCAGTTGTCCCAGTAACGTCCTTTATTATAGTGAAAAGGGTTCATTCAGCATCACTTAGTCATGTCTCCTTAATCTCCTTCAATTTGCAGCAGTTCATCAATTTCTCCTTGAGTTTTATGATCTTGCTACTTTTGAAGATTACAGGCAGTATTTTTTAAATATATTTTTTTATTGATTTTTTTACAGAGAGGAAGGGAGAGAGATAGAGAGCCAGAAACTTCGATGAGAGAGAAACATTGATCACCTGCCTTCACAACCCCTACTGGGGATGTGCCCGCAACCAGGGTACATGACATTGACCTGAATCGAACCTGGGACTCTTCAGTCCACAGGCTGACGCTCTGTCCACTGAGCCAAAACAGCTAGGGCATGCAGGCAGCATTTTGAAGAATGTGCCTCTATTTGGGCTTGTCTGATGCTCCTGTGGAACTACATTCAGGTTCTGCACCTTTGGCAGGAATTCCTCAGCAGGGAGCGACGCTGGCGTGCTCGCATTGATCCTGTCATGTGGCGCAGGCAGCGATTTGTCCCTCACTGGCGATGTTCACTTGAGTAATGTGGTGCCTTCCAGGGTTTTTCACTGTAAAGTTCGTCTTTCCCCTTTCTAATTAATAAATACCTTTTTTCATTTCTTATTAATTTTTACTTATTATTTTAAGTAAGTATTTAGAAATGTTGAAATATACATACACTGTTTCTCATCATCAATCATCAAATTATCTCCATGAGAATTTTAGCTGCTTCTACCATTCAGCACATCCTGCAGTTGTTGAGTCAGAAACACCACAAAAATAAATATTGTGGTGATAATTGTTTAGTTCTGCAGTATGTGTGTGGAAACCCATGTACACGAACATAAACAATGGTGTGTACGTTCGTGTGCGTGTGTGTTCGTGTGTGGGTGTGTGTGTGTTCTAGAACATTTGGCTCCTTTCACTTTTCCTTCTTCATTCCTGACTTGTATTTCACTGTTAACACAGCAGGTAAACAAAGATGTGGATTCACAGGCTGAAGGAGGAGATAGCCGCCCATCCATGGACTTATTCAAGGCCATCTTCGCCAGCTCCTCTGAAGAAAATTCCTCATCCTCTGAGGATGAGCAGGGCGACAGCGAGGACGATCAGGAGGGTGCCGGGGAGGCTGACTTCAAAAGTCCCCAGGAGGAACTGTCGTCTGTGGCTCACAGTACGTGAGTATTTCAGACTTTGGGATCTAAAGGAGAAAACAGTGATGTCTCTAGAGAAGCTGCTGCTTTGCTTAGTGTGTAATTTTAAACCAGGACAATAGCAATCAATGATGTTTTAATCTTTTACATTTTTAACTGGAGTAGACCGAGTTCTGCTTTATTTGTATGGTATAAACCTCTGGTATGTTTTTAGGATAGTTGTGTTTGATAATGTTGATTTTTCTACTAATCCTAGTTGAAAAGATTTAAGAATAGTGAATACCTTATTTAAAAATAGCTGTATGTATATATGTATGTATTTTAGAGAGAAAGGAAGGGGTGGAGAGAGAGAAACATTGATTTATTGTTCCATTTATTAATGCATTCATTGGTTGATTTTTGTATGTGCCCTGCCCTGACTGGGGATTGAACCTGCAACGTTTGTGCATGGTGACAATGTTACAACTGAGCTTGTTTTCTGCCCTGATAGTCTATGGTGGATGTGGGTGTAATTTTTGAGGGCCTTTAACCAAAAAGTTACATAGCAGTATAAAAAAATTATTCTTAGGTGATTGCAAATGTCACCCTCTATTTTATTTCTATAGAAAAAACTCAACTTACGTTATTACAAAGTCATATATATTTGAATTTAAAAATATAAATATATAGAAAACTTAAGTTCCCAGAGATCACTATCCTGAACACTTTTGATGCTTATGTTTCTAGACTTTTCCTATTCTTATCTCTCCTATTTGAAAACATAGTCATCTGTTTTTTAAAAAATGAGATTATTTATGTGAACATGATAATTTGTTTATATTCAGTTTTTCTCCTCTTTGATAATTCATTTTGAGTGAAATTAAACTTTCTGAGTCGGGGTATAGTCTTATATCCCTGTTTGTAAATTGTATTTTTCTCAGATATCCCTTCTTCGAGGACACCTTTCAACCCTCCCGTTTGCAGCAGGTGATCAGGATGCCGTACACACCCTGTGTTACAGACACTGGTGCACTTGGTTGCCTGTGCCCTTGTGTGACTGACTTCCCAGCTCTAGAGCCCATGAGGTGGGAGGTCAGGTCCACGGTTCAGCACACCTGTGTCCTCAGCACCTGGTGTGAGCTAGTTAAGCCAAGTGGTGAAGGAAGGCACAAGTTATCTGGTGGCAACAGACATTAGTTAAAGACTCATAAACATTTGGCAGAAATATAAAGTTAATACCCTGGTGTTTTTCAGCTGATGAGCCAGCCTCCCAGGAGCCCGCACCTTCCTTCGTGATACAGAAGACGCCGGTAGAGGAGAGAGAAGAGTTCGGCCCTCGGCTGCCTCCTGTCTTCTGCCCCAGTGAGTCCTTGGCTCATCTATCTGCGCCGGCACCGAGTGTCCCCTGACAGTGACAGCTCTAACTGGGCTGTGTCCACCCAGCAAATCCAACACGAGGCCAGACAAATACATATGTTTGTGGCTGGCTTATCTGTTCTCAGCCACATTTGAAACCCATTACTCCACCTGGTACCTTAGTGACAGTTGTTGCTTTACTGCCTCAGAGACCTTTCAGCTTTTCTTTTCTAACTTTCAGATATTTCAAATATTGTCATTTATAGAAATAAAAAAGTAAAAATCTAGGACACAAAGATGAGAAGGAAATTTCAGGGAGTAGGGTATTCTGAGACTTTTTTAATACTTTGGCAAATGTAGCAAATAAAGTAAAATTAATTATTTCAGAAGTAAATACAGCCCGTCTTCCTCCTCCAGCAGCTGTTAACGCCTTCTGTTCAGGGCCATCGTAAATTGACCACTTGTGTTTAAATGGTTAGACTGGTTTATCATTTCTCTGAAGACTGGGTTAAGAAACCTCTGATAACATGCCCCAGGTACATGAATAATAAATGATTTTTATCTACTCTAGCTTCCTGTAGCGCTCACATATAAATATTGTTTTAGTTAATTAATCCAGCCCTCAAAGAGACAATAAGAAGCAGAGAGAAGTAAAAAGTGAAGTTTTGAAAGTTGCAGTGAATGTATTATTTACATCTTTAGCTTAAAGTGTGTTAGCTGTTAAAAATTTAAGTTATTTATGCCCATTTCTCAGATCGTCCTTGATATCCTTAAAATAGTTAATAACTTAGTTTGGTCTATGGGTTATTGAGGGAAAATGGTTTTTAAAAAAATAGCATTTAAAAAGAAGGTTATTAAAACCACAATGAGCTGGACTGGTGTGACTCAGTGGGTTGAGCATAGATAGCCCTATGGACCAGGAGGTCCTGGATTCCACTCACGGTCAAGTCACATGCCTGGGTTTCAGGCTTGATCCCCAGTAGGAGGCATGAAGGAGGCAGCCAGTCAGTGTGTGTCTCTCTCATTGATGTTTCTATCTCTTCCTCTCCCTTCCTCTCTGAAATCAATAAAAATATATTTAAGAAAAACAACAACAACAATGACATATTACCTCACAAACAATAAATGCTGAAATGGATGTAGAGAAAAAGGAACCCTAGTATACTGCTGGTGAGAATGCAGATGGTCTAGCCACTTGAAAAACAATATAGAGTTTCCTCAAAAAATTAAAAATGGAACTGCCATTTGACCCAGCAATCCCACTTCTGGGAATATATCCTAAAACCCCTAAACACCAATCAGAAAGGATTTATGCACCCCTGTGTTCATAGCAGCATTATTTACAATGGCTACGTTTTGGAAACAGCCCATCAGTAGATGAGTGAATTAAAAAGCTTGGTACATGTGGAATACTATGCAGCTGTAAAAGATAGCATGTATGGACCTGGAGAGTTTTTTTTTTTTTTTTTTTTTTTTTAATGTTTTTATTGATTTCAGCGAGAGGAAGAGAGAGGGAGAGAGAGATGGCAACATCAGTGATGAGAGAGAATCATTGATTGGCTGCTTCATGCACACCCCACCTGGAGATTGAGCCTGCAACCCCGGCATGTTGAACTGTGACCTCCTGGTTCATGGGTTGGTTCTTAACCACTGAACCATACTGGCTGGGCTGGAGAGTATTATGCTAAGCAAAGCAGGCCAGTCAGAGAAAGACAACTTTACATGATCTCTTAATATGTGAAATCTTACGAATAAGATAAATCAACCAACAAAATAAGTCTCAAGGTGTGGAGGCATGGTGGCCAGGAATGAGAACAGATAAACCAAAGAACTCATGCACTTATATGCCCATGGCCACGACAATAGAGTGGTAAAGAGCTAGGGAGTGGGGAGGGGCTGAGTGGATGGCGCAAAGAGGGGGGAAGGGCAGGGGGAGTATCTGTAATGTCAACAATGAAAATAATTTTTAATTAAAAAAAATAAAGGTTGGGAGGTCAGTTTTTGAAAAATCTGACCAAACTTTAGGAATAGAAAATTGCAGACACCTGTTAACTGGGTTTGGAAAATATCCATACCTGAAACACTTGGAACTTTCTTTAGGTGGAAAAAGATGATTTAATCATTTAAACTGCTTCTGCTATTATGGATTTTTGCAGGGTACCAGGAAATAAATGACCTATGAAAACATTTCAATCAGAATTTGGAGGTGGAGAATTTAGGTGCCTGCAACTTGTAATTTTAATGATTACACATTTATTGTGTTGCTCTGATGCTAGTGTTTTAGTGTTTCTACTTATAAGACAAATGCATGTTGAATGTGCTTTTGTGAAGGGAGGGTGATGTGAGAGGAGGAGCTTATATCCCGGATTCCAGGCTATGGGATTCATCTTTGAATCCCATAGCCTGGAATCCGGGATTCATCTAATCCTCTCTGTGTCCCTAAGGAGATAGGGAGTCTTCTTATTCCTGTTTTATGGAAGGGGACATTGAGACTTGAAGAGCTTAAGCAAGATGCTCAAGATCGATCACAGCTGGTGACACAGCTGAGATTCAGACTCTGAGCTTACTCTAGGATTTTAAATTACAAAGGCTTATGGGTATTCTAATCTGACTTTAACCTGGCAAGATGCTTATTGGATCACACAGGTCTTATGTTGATGTTTCTGGCAGTTTTTAAATGTAGGGTGTCCCCCTAAAATGTATACACACTCTAACAGCTGCTAGCTCAATTTTGAAAATGAAATGTATTTTAATAAATGCTGCCTTTATAATTATTCAAAGTGTGTGTATGCATGTTTTTGGAACTCCCTAAATAGAGCTAACCCGGGATATGCCAATCTGTTTGTATATCAGTGAGGCAGGGCAGGAGTTCTGCTTGAATATTAATCATCCCATCTAAGGCATAGTGTTAATCCAAGAATTTAGCTTTATTTCCCCCAGTCCTTCATGTGTTTGTTGCATTTGTGTTTCAGATGCTCGCCAGAAACTTGAGGCTCCTCAAAAAGAGAAACATAAAAAGAACAAAGAAAAACACAAGACCAAGAAAGAGCACAGACGGAAGAAAGAGAAGGTGAGTGGCTTCTGGGTGCCCTGGGCTCAGTGTGGGGTTTGTCCCTCCTGCCTCTGTCATTCAGACCAGCCCTCAGGAGGCCGCTGCAGTGTCTGGCCAAGATGGGGGCACATGGGTTTTTCAATACCTTGACAGAAGTATGGACTAGACATTCTTTGTAAACCTTCGATTTTCAGAAACTTCGTTTTTCTTTCAATAGAATATTTTAATTTGTTCAGTTGTACTTTAAAAAGTTTATATTTGTGATCATTAAAAATTAGGAAAAAGGACTTAAGTATCTTAGAGTAATGGTTGAGTATTAAATAACAAAAAATTTATTTGATCATTCATTCAGTATTAAATGAAGGTGTTATTTTGTACATTTCTCATTACATAGAGATGTTGGTCCATAGTTTAATATTTGAAATAAAGAAAACCTGAATGTTTAATGTATGTGTTCACTGTTGACATCCCTTATCTCATTGTCCATGTCTTTTTAAAAATATATATATATTTTTTTATATAAAAAATACTTTTATTGATTTTAGAGAGGAAGGGAGAGAAAGAGAGAGAGAGAGAAACATCAATGTGAGAAAGACACATCAGTTGATTGCCTCTCACATGACTGGGTCTGGGGATCAAACCTGCAATCCAGGTACGTGTCCTTGACCAGGAATTGAGCCTGTGATCCTACTGTGTGCAGATTGTTGCTCTAACTATTGAGCAACCAGCCAGGGTGAGATAGGCTTTTAATTCAATTAATATTAGTGTTGGGTCCCCAAAGTGGTCTGGGCAGTAGTAGAATTTATTAGAAACATCTCCCTGATTGATTATCAAAAAAAAAAAAAAAAAAAAATGGTTCCTGAGCATCGAAGATGAGGAAAGTTCACTTGTAGCGAAAGGAAAAAGTTGGTGCTAAAAGGTAGGTTCAAAAACCAAATTCATTGGTTTCTTACCAGTGTATCTACTGTTCCCTGACTTTCTACCAGTTTCTTCTTTGTGCATTTCCAGTGTTCGCCATCCTGATGTGCAGTTTATCACACACGCCTAACAAAATGGGCCAGTCAGGTTTATGGATGAGAGGGCGCTAAGTGCCAAGGCAGTATCCTGCCTTCGTCTGCTTGGTTCTGCTGAGCCTTTTGCTGGAGGATCAGTTCTGTGAGTGGGGCACTGTGGACAGTGTGCAGAGCTGAGTGTTCCTGGCCTGTTTCACACTAGGCTAACATTCATCCCAAATGAGGTTTTGCTATTTTTTTTAATATACATTTTATTTTTAAAATATATTTTATTAATTTTTTTACAGAGAGGAAGGGAGAGGGATAGAGAGTTAGAAACATCAATGAGAGAGAAACATCGATCACTGCCTCCTGCACCTACTGGACCAACCAGTTAGGACTTGCTATTGTTTTTGAATGACTCCAGCAATCAATGCCTCATTAGCATGTCATTATACTGAATTAGGAAGGGAAACACCTGTTAGTGTGTGTGCTTGTGTATTCCAGCATCTTTTTTTTTTTTTTTTTTTTTTTTTTTTAAAGAAAAAGAAACATCGGAAGCACAAACACAAAGGCAAGCAAAAGAATAAAAAGTCAGAGAAAAGTAGTAGTTCTGAGAGTGCTGACAGCAGTGACAGCCAGAGTGAAGAAGACACCGCAGACATGTCACCCCAGGAACTGCTAAGACGGTAGGCAACGGAAGACGATGGTTTTTATGAGCCTTTCAAAGGCCCCTTAATCTTGGTGTATTTGCTGAGAGGCAAACGTCAGAAATGATAAACTTGCATATTAAATAGGCTTGTTAAAAAGTTAACTTTTAATTACATATGTAATATGTGAATGTGAAAATTCATACTTTACAAATAAAATTTAAAGTGTCCCTTGACCAACTCCCCAAACTTCTCTTTCCACAGTAACTTTTTCTGTGAGTTTCATTTGTACTTATAAGAATTTTTTGCTTAACTATACACTGGTAATGTGTACATATGCATTTTATTATGTTTTGTTTTTTTAAAAAATATATATATTTTTATTGATTTCAGAGAGAAAGGGAGAGGGAGAGAGAGATAGGAACATCAATGATGAGAGAGAATCATTAATAGGCTGCCTACTGCACAGCTCCCACTGGGGATCCAGCCAACAACATGGCATGTGCCCTTGACTGAAATCAAACCTGGGACCCTTCAGTCCACAGGTGATGCTCTATCCACTGAGCCAAACCAGCTAGGGCTGCATTTTTAATATAAATAATATAATTTTATGTAACATGGTGTGTGAACATTTAGAATGAATAAATACTGTCCGATGATTATAAAAGTACCTTGTTATTACATCAAATGTAAATGGTACAGAAATGTTTGCCATTATGATAAGTAAAGAATGGCATCTCATTTTAATTTTCTTTTCCTGGATTACTAATGAGGTTGAGCATCCTTTCCTCTGTGTCTCAGCCTTTGCCATGTGCTCTTTTGTGAATAGCTTGCTCATGTACCTGCATAGTGTTCTGTTTCCTGTAAGATTGCTTTACTGGTCTTTAGTAATTAAAAAATAATAATTTTGGATATTAATCCTTTGTGTTTAAGTGTATTACCTGTCATATAATTTTAACTACCTTTGTTGTACAGAAGCTTTAATTTAAAAAAAAAATATATATTTTATTGATTTGTTAAAGAGAGGAAGGGAGAGAGATAGTCAGAAACATCGATGAGAGAGAGTCATCGATCAGCTGCCTCTTGCACATCCCCTACTGGGGATATGCCCACAACCAGGGTACATGCCCTTGACCGGATTCGAACCCGGGACCTTTCAGTTCCCAAGCCGACGCTCTATCCATTGAGCCAAGCTGGTCCCGGCAGAAGCTTTAATTTTTGATGCACTCATTTAACCAATTTTTTTGGTATGTTTTTCATTTCTGTCTTTTAAAGGCCTTCCCTAACTCGATTTTATATATATGTAAACTGTTTTCAGGCTTTTGTAGTTTTCATTTTTTTAAAAATTTATTGATTTTTCACAGAGAGGAAGAGAGAGGGATAAAGAGTTAGAAACATCGATGAGAGAGAGTCATCGATCAGCTGCCTCTTGCACACTCCCGACTGGGGATATGCCGGCAACCAAGGTACATGCCCTTAACCCGAATCGAACCCGGGACCTTTCAGTCCGGTGCTGGCTCATTTTTTATTTCATACAGAATAATGTAACCATCTAACTTTTTCCAAATGTATAGCCAGTATTAGTCAGGGTGAGTAAATTAGCAGTGATGAAAAGGAAACCCTGCATCCCAGTGTCATAGCATAGTGAAGCATTAATAAAATTGGTCTTTCAGTTCATATCTAACTTTCTTTCTCTCTTTTACTTCTGTTTCCAGGTTAAAACATCTTCCCTTGCAGAGGCAGTAGCTGACCTCTGCCCTGGCCTGTTCTGAAACTAGATCTCCTCCATGATGGAAGTCCATTGATTGCTCAGTTAATACATTGTACAGATTGTATTTATATGTAAATTCATGCTGTAAAATAATTTTTAAAATCATTTCAAAGGCTGCCTTGGAAGGTCACAGAAATTGGTTTATATTTTTAACTTCAGTTAGTATCAGGAAAAAATTCAGATGGTACAGTTTAATTAAAATGGATTTTTCTATTTCCTCCTTGATTTTTCTTACTTCTTGAAACTCTAAAAAAGAATGAAAAGTAAAGACTGTCCTCTCGTTTTGTTATGAAGAAAGCCAAGTGCAGACTAGGACAGGTGGGCTTATCGAAGGGCCTGGGGAGAGGGAGATGGTCAGTCCTTCCCCTCCTGCAGTGTTTCCCTGTGTCCGGCCCCTCCCTCGGGTGGTTGGTGGCAGCCAGGAATCCAGTGGGAGGAACAGTGCCGGATCCTGGCAGCGCCCTCAGCCTCTCAGGGCAGAAGTCACCAATGTATGCGAGGCACCAAGACCAAGAGCCAGTGAGCGCGCGCCCACCTCCGGCCCCTGCTCTGAGGCGGCCTGCTCTGCACTATGAGACCTTTGATAAAAGTGAATTACAGTGTTTTCTAATATTATAAAAATAATATCATTGGAAAATCAGAACCATTTTTAAAGGAAAAAGGAAAGAAAGGCACTTCGACCCACCCAGAGATGACAACTGTGGATATTTTGTAATATGCATGCAGGCTTTTTGTAACCCTAGGACTACTACCTGAGTGGCCCTGTTTTGTTATTTTCAAGGGCCTTGTGACAGATATTTCCCTCCTGCTTTACATCTGGTGTGTACCTGCCCCTAGCACTGCATCTCCATCCATCCAGAACCTGTTCGCTACCTTACTGGCCATTTCCCTGTCGTTGGCATAGAGCGGGTTAGCTGAGAGCCCCTCCAGAGGCAGAGGACACACGCAGATGGTCCCGGGAGAGGGAGCCGGGGAGACAAGCAGGATCTAGAGGACGGGGCCGCAGGTTGCACACTCGTGTCCTGGGTGCTTTTGTGTCCAGAATTCGAAGCCCCTGTTCTCCCAGGAGGGGAAGGGGCGGGATTGCCGGGCGTCGGGGGAGGGCGGAGTGCCGGGCGCGGGCGGGCGGGCACGCGAGGCCGCCGTTTGCAGCCAGGCCCGGGCTGGCCGCTGGCAGCTCTGCTCCAGGATGGCCTCGCAGCCCCCGCACCCTTCCTGGTACCTCCGATACCGGGTCATGGGCAGGAAGACATACTCCTCCATCTACCCGGACCGGCGCGGGAAGAGAGCGCCCCGGGAGCCGCCGCCCGTGGCCCCCGCCGACGGCGCCCTGGGCCGCAGAAGGCTGCCTCTGGGGACCCTGGTCAAGGCCATTGTCGTCCTCAAGAGGCTGGCCGCGGACATCCGGCGGGGCCACATCCTGCCCTGCCTCAACCCCCTGACCACCGAGCAGAAAGCGCCCGAGAAGCGCGCCGTGGCCATGCCTGAAAAGACGGTCTGGGGCGACCAGGAGCCGCTCTCCAAGGTTAGCGCTGCCCTGGGGAGGGCGCCCGGGCAGCCCCGGCCGGAGCCCACCCGGTGGGCAGAGGGGTGGGCAGAGGCGGAGGAGCCGCGGCAGGCTCGGCTTCCACCGGGAGTCGCTAGGGAGACAGGATTGTCCTGGGAAGCGGTGGCTGGTGGGGACAGTGTTTTAAAGCGGCTGCCCTGATCCAACCCGGACTCCGGGCTCCGGCTGAGGCTCTCAACATCCCCATGGTGACTTCCTGAGTCGTGGAGGAGCCCTCCCTCTCCACGAAGCAGCACTAGCAGCAACAGAAAACTTAGAATAGCCATAATAAAATAAAAGCATAGAAACCTAACAACACTACTTTGTATTCTTTAAAAAATTTTTAAATTTATTTATTTATTTATTTATTTATTTATTTATTTATTTCTGAATTTAGAAAGAGGAAGGGAGAGGGAGAAAGAAACGTCAATAAGAGAGAACCATCAATCAGCTGCCTGCTACTGGGAACAGAGCCCACAACCTGGGCATGTGCCCTGACTGGGAATCCAACCCTAGACCCCCTGCTGCATGGGGCAGTGCTCAGCCAACTGAGCCACTCTTGCCAGGGCACTGCTTTGTTTTCTCAGTGATGTAGGAGAGATGTTGTATTGATACAAAAAAAAAAAAAAAAAAAAAGACTGTAGCTGGAAAGAGGAAATAATCTGCGAACAGAGACAATTCTTGGGGGTGAAAAAGAGGATTTTCAAGCCAAATCCTCCATGAAGGCTTTAACATCGGAGGGGAGGGCTGAAACCGAAGCAACCAACCCCGAAGAGCCGATGGGCCTGTGAGAGGTGTGGGGAGGGAGGGAGGTGGAGGAGGAGGAAACACCGGAGGAAAGCGAAAATCTCCCTGGGCTGGACAGACAGGTGCGCTCATGGAAGAGATGGTGGAGCTCAGTGAAAGACTGGACAGAAAGCCAGCCTCCGCTGGAGTAGGTCATTCATTGAGGGGCCGGGAAAGCCTGGATCAGACTGAGATCTCGGCTTCCCCAGCTGTCCTCAGAGCTGAACCCCACCCTGCACTGGGGTCTCCATGGGGAAGTTGTTTGAAGAGAAAGCAAAATGCTTTGCTCTGCTTTGAGTTATGCTATTTATTCTGATTTTTTAACAGTAAAGTTAAAGGAGAGCACAGGGATTGTATTTTATATTCTCAGCAGAACATTCTGAAGATTCAAATCCAATAGGTATAAAAGCTTAAAAAACAACAAAAGTCTCTTTGGCACCCTTGACCTCAAACTTCTCTGTTTCTCTCTAGAGGGGCAACGTATGTTTTTAGTTTATTTTGTATCCTCACAGAGGTGTTTATGAATCTACCAGTACACACATAAATTGAGGCATACTTTATAGACCCCTTTTGCACCTTAATTATTTTTTAAAATCCTCACCTAAGGGCATGCTTAGAGAGAAAGGTAGGGAGAGAAAGAAGGAGGGAGGGAGGGCGAGAAAGAGAGAGAGAAAGAGAGAGAGAGAGAGAGAGAGAGAGAGACAGACATTGATGTGAGAGAAACATCCATCACTTGCCTTCCACACATGCCCTGAACCAGCAATCCAGGTAGGTGCCCTGATCGGGAATCCAACTGGCAATCTATCAGTGCATGGGACAACACTCAGTCAACTGAGACATTCTGGCCAGGCTAAAACAAATTTTCAAATGAGTATATTTTAGGGATCTTTCCACATCAGTGAAGAAATAACTTCCTTGGATTGATTCCCACCCGGCTACTACCCAGCCTGGGCGACCTGGTGCCAGCACCTGGCCAGGCCAGTAGGCCCCTGCCCTGGGATACTGTGTGGCTGCCACCTGAGTGCCAGTGGAAGCTGAGCTGAGCTGCTTTCCGAGGTTTCACCCACAACAAAGCTGACAGACCCCTAGTTCTTGTAGGATCTGGACCCAAAGCCCTTCCACTTTCTCTGCCAGTATAGCTGCTCCTGGCTCCCAGGGGATCAAAATCACAGGCCCTAGTACTGGACCCCAGTTCGGGGGAAGAGGGGCAGTTTACTGTTATCCTCCATGAAGTTTAATTTATGAAACCTCCCCCACCTTATAAAACCAACCCTAAGGAGTATTTTAAATTCACACAGACTTTATGAAAATTTAAAATTAGATAGAATATATTTTGGAATAAAGTGAATTTAAGGCGTGCACACACACACATACATACACACACACACACACACACACACACAGAAAAAGAAAAAGAAAAAAAAAAAAAAAAAAAGAACGCCCTTGTTCCTTTTGATGAACACAGTAGTAAGTATTCTTGGCGAGCTGTGCTCTGATGGGTTTAACCAGTTTCCTGCGGATGCATACTCGGGTGGCTTATAATTTTTTTGGCCTGAGGTTTTTATAATCCATCAGATTGACAGAAATTGGGAAGTTCTATAAAACTCTGAACAAAGGCATGTGATTGCTGAATTATATGTTAAGAATATGTTTAGTTTGCCCTAGCCCGGTGGTTGGCAAACTGCGGCTCGCGAGCCACATGGGGCTCTTTGGCCCCTTGAGTGTGGCTCTTCCACAAAATACCACGGCCTGGGCGAGTCTATTTTGAAGAAGTGGCGTTAGAAGAGGTTTAACTTTAAAAAATTGGATCTCAAAAGAAATTTCAATCGTTGTACTGTTGATATTGGGCTCTGCTGATTAATGAGTTTGCCGACCGCTATCCTAGCCGGTTTGGCGCAGTGGATAGAGCGTCCGCCTGTGGACTGAAGGGTCGCAGGTTTGATTCTGTTTAAAGGCACGTACATTGGTTGTGTGCAGAAGGCAACCAATCAATGTATCTCTGTCATGTTGATAATTCTCTCTGTCCCTCCCTTTCCTGACCGTTCTCTCTAAAAATCAGTGGAGAAAATATACTTGGGCGAGGATTAACAGAGCAACAGCAACAAAAAGAACATGTCTAGTTTTGCAAGAAACTGCCAAACTGTCTTCCACGGGATCTGTTCCATTGTGCATCCCCACCAGCAATGAATGAAAGTTCCTATTGCTTCACCTCCTCGTCCACATACAGCGCTGTCAGTGTTCTGGATTTTGGCCATTCAAATATTATTATTGTTGTTTAATTTTCAAATTCCTGATGACATGTCAGGAATATCTTTTCACCTGCTTATTTGCTATCTGTATATCTTATATTGTGTCTATTAAGATCCTTGGCCTGTTTTTTTACTTGTGTTGTTTATTTTCTTATTGTTGAGCTTTGAAAGTTCTTTCTATACAGTTGTGCTTTGGTATCCTTGGGGAATTGGTTCTAGGACCCTTCCCTCATGCCCAAAATACTGAAATCCATGTTGAAGTCCCTATGGAAAAAGGTGTAGGATTTGCATATAACCTAAGTATTCTCACATACTTAAAAAAAAAAAAAACATTTTCTTTATTGATTTCAGAGAGGAAGGGAGAGGGAGAGAGAGATAGAAACATCAATGATGTCGCCGGGACCAGTTTGGCTCAATGGATAGAGCGTCGGCTTGGGGACTGAAGGGACCAGGGTTCGATTCCGGTCAAGGGCATGTACCTTGGTTGCGGGCATATCCCCAGTAGGGGGTGTGCAAGAGGCAGCTGATCGATGACTCTCTCTCATCGATGTTTCTAACTCTGTATCTCTCTCCCTTCCTCTCTGTACAAAATCAATAAAATATATTTTAAAAAAAAGAAAAAAAAGAAAGAAACATCAATGATGTTAAAGAATCTTTGATTGGTTGCCTCTTGCATGTCCCACACTGGGGATAGAGCCCACAACCCAGGCATGTGCCCTAATTAGGTATTGAACCATGACCTCCTGGTTCATAGGTTAATGCCACTAAGCCACACCTACTTTAAATCGTTGCTAGATTACTTCTAATGCTTTATCTTATGTAATAAAGAGGTAATATGCAAACTGACCATCACACCCTCACAAGATGGCTGCCTGTGACCAGGCCAGCAGGGGAGTTAGTGAGGGGCGACCAAGCGACTGAACAAGTAGGCTGTGTGGGGCGACCAGGCCAGCAAAGGGGTTAGTGAGGGATGACCAAACGACTGAATAAGCAGGCTGCATGGGGCAATCAGGCCAGTGGGGGGGACAGTTGGGGGCAACCAGGTCAGCAGGTGGGGCAGTTAGGATCAACCAGGCCAGCAGGTGGGGGGCAATAAGAGGCGACCAGGCCAGCAGGAGGGGGCAGTTAGGGGTGACGTGGCCAGCAGCAGGGAGTGACCAGGCAGGCAGGCAAGTGAGTGGTCAGGAGCCAGTGGCCCAGGATTGTGAGAGGGATGTCTGACTATCAATTAGGCCTGATCCCCAGTATCAGGCCTAAACTGGCAGACATCCCCCGAGGGGTTCTGTATTGGAGAGGGTGCAGGCTGGGCTGAGGGGACCCCTGTCCATGCATGAATTTCGTGCACAAGGCCTCTAGTACAATATAAATGATACACAAATACTTACACTGTATTGTTTAGGAATAATAACAAGAAAAAAAAGTCTGTATGTTTAGTACAGACTCAACCATCATTGTAGGCCTAACTACACACTGTAGTTCACATCTGCAATGATGTCACTTCTTTTCCTGATATTTTTAATACATGGTTGGTTGAATCAACAGATGAGAAACATGAGTATATAAGGACCAATTCAATTTTGGATAACTCTGATTTATCAGAGGTGTCTTTTGCAAATACTTTCTCCCAGTCTAATGGCTTGTCTTTCCATTCTCTTGACATGGTCTTTCACAGAGCAGAAGTTTAAAATTTTTATTAAGTTTGGCTTGTCAATTGTTTTTTCAAGAATAGTCCCTTTGGTGTCATATCTACAAAGTCATTGCCATACCCAACCAAGAATGTCCAGATTTTCTCCTATGTTATTCTCTAGGATCTTTATAAATTTTTATTTTATATTTATGTGTGTGATCCATTTTGAATTAATTTTTATGAAGGGTTTAAGGTCTATGTCTAGATTTATTTATTTTTACATGTGGATGCCCAAGTTGTTCCAGCACCATTTGTTG